CACAAAAAAATTAATTAATTAAATATATATATATTCTACAGCAGAAAAAAAATTGAAAAACCAGACAAACAGTTTGTTTATGATATGACTTTTTTCCCCCAGAAAATCACAGGATTTTTATGTAGAGAATTTAACTACCCAAAGTCACAATTAAGGTTGGTCTGATTACAATGGAACAGAGCAACAGAGCCAATTGAGAAATTAAAATAAAATATAAATATATACTAATACCGCACTGAATATGCAAGAATTAGTAGATACCTGTTGTCGGGATAGCGCGGAAAAACCACACTGACCAACCGAGATATTCTCCAATGCGAAAAATTTACAGTATAGTATTTAAATTAAATCTTTTTCAAATTGTCAAAAATAAATGGCTACACATCTGTATTATACAAATACAACTTATTCAAGCAGAGAACACAGTTTCTCTCCAGTGGCGGATCCAGAGGGGGGCGTAGAGGGCGTACGCCCCCCCCTTTTGCTTGCAATTTTTTTTTTTTTTTTTGTAAAATGATTAATCAGACTAGACTTCGTGAACTTTGCCATTTCCCGTGTATTTCATTTTTATGCGACAAATATTTACTTATAAAGATATTTTTCGCTCGTATTTACTGTAATATATTACTGATTATGTCAAAGTCATGTGATTCACTACGGTGGAGTTGACCAGTGCGTCGAAAAAAACGTCACTCAGTCATTTTGAAATTCAAATTTCAGTAACACACTGCTTAGGCTGAGGATGATAAGCATGACACCTTCAAAGCGACAAAAGATTGAGCAAGAACGTATTGACTTCTATTTCACAATTCCACCAAACAGAAAGTAATACTCTATTACACTCTCATGAAAAAAAATTCCACAGCAGTATTATTTACCTTCGAAAACATGTTTAAACCCACACGCCCCAGTCTATTAATAACATAGCTGAATAATGATCCTCAGTCAGTAAGCTCTAGATAGATTTAAAGTCTAAGGTACGGACCATTTGATTTGAGGGGACAGTCTGAGATATTTGAGAGAAAAAATTCTGACCCTGATTTTTGCCTTAAACAAAACTTCTGGCCGTATCAAGATTGTAAACAATAATCTTGTCCACTTTTTTGCTATTAGAAACAAAAATTTCCAACAGAATTATTTAGCATTAAATGAACATGATGAATAAAAAACGGGCGTTATTTTTTTGGGGCCGGGGGTTTGCATGTAAATCCCATATCTGACCGGAATGTCTGTTTCGCCGAACTGATATTTTGAATACTTTTTTCAAGGCCCGACTGCAACCTGCCTGCTGAGTGTGGCCTTTATGTCGCCACTTGCCGACCGTCATTCATAAATTCGTTGTCATTTCAGACTCATTCGTAGCCTTTAGTTGATCGGAACCCCTCACTTCCCTTGTTGGGTGAAACATTTCAATCAAACATTTGGATAAAAATTGCTTGTTTGTCTTTCTTAACTCGTGTCGGTCGTATTGTAAATGTCATTGAATAGCCCGGCGTATATCTTGTTTACAACAAGAAATCTGTGAAGTTATGCTAACTAAACATACAACAAACGAGTATTTTCCATGTCCATTTTTTACTGACAATTCCCACATCAAATATATTAGTACATAGCCGTTTGGATCCAATCTTTTTATAGTAGACAATTAATGGGGAATATACGGCATCAAAAATGTCCAACCTTTAACTACTAGTATAAAATATACATGCCCTACGTCAGGAACCGTTTAAAAAGTGCATTTTACACTTATTTTATGTTTTTTACCCAAAAAAAGGTCCAAAAAATTTTCGCCTCGCTTCGCCAGGCCAACTTCACATAATTCGCCCCCCTTTCCAAAATCCTGGATCCGCCTCTGCTTTCCAAGCAAAATATAAATACAATAGCAGACGGAAGGAACAAAATAAAAATGAACAATTTCTTTTCCTTCCAGTGTCTGATGTAGAATGCCGGTTTTATCCGGGAGTGACACCACCACTGGATTTTTATTTCATCCCTCAATAAATTTATCAGATGTATCAATAGCAATGTAAATCCGGTTTAAAACAATTTGAAATGATTTGGGAATGTGAAAAAAAAGACAATATGTCTTCCCCTTCTTATTCAAAGATGGCGGTTTGCCGGGAAAATTATGAACTAACTATCTGGATTTGTCAGAATTCTATAGATTAACAGGGAATTTTTTGTGTATAATACAAAGGGAAAATTAAATGTGAACGTGTAAGGATGATTGTGCTATACAAGGGGTTTGAAAAACAAGTGATAATGCAGGAATGTTGAAAATTTTCAGTTGAGCTCAAACAGTGCGTCCTTCTCGGCCTCACTTTCACTATTTCAACATTTGTATATTGATCATTAGGTGCTATATTGATCACTAGGTGCTACATTTGTGATATGTTTATTTGTAATTTGTAAATTGCTAAATTGTATATTTGTATTTTGTAAATTTGTAGATGTTAATTAGCATCTTTGGTTTTATGTTATTTGTAAAAGCGTATCATACTTGTAAATCGACACTTTTCTAACGCGATGATTGCAAAGTGGGTGGATTGTTCATTCGACATTTGTACATTCGTTTTATGCTACATTTCGTATTATGATAACAGATGGCGCCGCTGTCGGACTTTCGGTATCTTTCGGAATGTTACCATTTTCGAAGTTTAGATAACGTGGATGAAGAAAGGTAAATTATTTTACAAGTGTATCCAATAATATTGAAGTATACAAATCGTTTATTATTGATATGTCTGACCAAAACGAAGAAAAACCCTAACACTGTTCTTTATTAATGGAAATAGTGGACAGATAGGAAAAAGGGGGAAAGGGGAACAGCTCAATTTGGGGGGTGGGTTACTTGCCATCCTTTTGGACACTGTGCCGAATGCACTTGTCAAATAATACCCTGTTCTTTACAGAAAATATTGGAAAAACACACCCTGTCCTCTACACACACTCAGAAAATGTAAACCCTCTTCTAGACAAGCTCAGAAAATGTAAAGACGGGCGGAAAGACCTTTTTCGGGACGTCGGATTTTTCAGGTTTTTCATGAAAATAACCCTGAACAAAGTACAGTTTAAATGTAAAGGATATCAATTTGAAGGGACCCCGTTGGCTTTCCATATATAAGGACCTACTTTGAGGTACATTTGCACGTATTCTTTTATCGGTATTTAGTTTCTTATATCATTAGTAAACCAGACTTTGTTTTTTTTTTATATATGTACATGTACAAATTAATAAGCACGATAACATTCTCACCTAATATTTCGAAAAATAAAAGAAATAAATGCATTATTTCTTTCGATTTTCATTTCTAGTTCAACGAGCCAAACATTTTACCAAATTCTGTGACATAGAGCATTAACTGTACCTTGGCCACAATTATAATTTTAATATTGCTATATGTATAGTGTTTATAACGGTATAGAAATATCAATAATGTTGGTCGATTTATAAATAGTTTTCGGACATTTTAAAAATATAGAGCCTATGCAACAGCAAACTGTAGCTGGCATTTTGCATCATCAAAAAAAGGGAACACGAAACACGTCAATCTGTTGCAGATCAACAACGAATTATACCATGCCATCTTCTATGTCTTTACCCTCACATATACAGCGATATCAAAAAATCTTAAGAATTCAGTTGACAACGCTTAGTCTTAATTGCACATTGATCAATTTCCATTGACACCTGTCACTTTCTTAGTTTTGAAAAGTGACAAACTAATTATATATATAAAAAAAGGAAAAACAGTATTTGTAATTATGTGATGTGCTTGACGTGAACATAACAAAAGTAACTGAACATAGTTATACTTGGCTTTGTGTAAGAGTTATCTAAAATAAGTAATTCACTTTTGTCCAAATATTGATAAACACGAGTTTCTGAACATTAGAATCACTACATATACTAGGAACAATTATAAAAATATAATATTGTTTCCAATACGTTAAAGTGAAACCAGTCCGAGGATCCTGGAAGATTTCATTTTTCAAACTAGAAAAAAATCAAATGTTTATTGAAAACGTTAACGTTTGGTTGTGTGTCTTTATTAAATTTTCATTTATTAATTTAAAGGAGACGGTCCAGTAATTGCTAATTTTGGCCTAAATTTTGAAGTACATCTGCTAAAAGATTTTTGACATTTTTTAAACACTTAAGTGTCTTCTTCAGTCGATTCAATTAGTTTAAGTAAAAGATTTGAACTGATTTGGTCATTGAAGACGCTCAAATTCAAGCTTAAAATATAAAAAATCTATTAAATATGCCACATAACGTCACTTTATAGATGTTTTTTGGTCTAAGTTGGAAGTGGCCGCATTCGTGTTCAGTCTCAATCTTTATATATGTTATGTATCATCATGAAATACAACATATATTTAAATATTAAGACTGAACACAAGTGCGACTACTTCCATTTTAGACAAAGACCGTCTAAAAACTAGCACAAATGCTAAAATTGTGAAGATTTCAGTACTTTGCATGAACTATTGATGCTAGTACCTGATGCACGTGCAGTGTAATTACAAAAACAAGTCCATATTTATGTAACGAAAGTATTCTACTTTCCAAAAAAAAAGCCAAAAATAAACATTTTTTACAACTTTTTAAAATGCTATATTCTGGGGCCGAAAAGGGGTCTTACCCGCAACCTGCTCCTTTCAAGTTATAACATTATAATTTAATTTTGGATGTAACACGTCTTCTGATTGGCTGAAAGTGTTTTGTCTATCAGCTCATATACATAATTTTGTCATGTGACCGTGACGTCACCAACGTTTTTTTTTCCAAATTTACTCCTTAAAAATGGAATTTATAATTAAATTATAAGGAATGATTGTAATATTTTTTCTGTCTATTCAAAATAACCTAAAAAATGTGGTGCACACTTTTAAATTACGTGGGTTATTCAGTGTGCACCACATTTTTGAGGTTATTTCTTCAGACAGAAAAAATATTACAGTCATTCCTCAAATAAAAATAAGGGGAATATACAAACCTTTTGAATCGTGTTGTGAACTGTTTATCAAGTGTTCCAAAAGATCCAAATTGAACTACATCTTTCCAACGATCTGTACTAAAACTAGCAAATATGGTGTTTAATAGCGACGATTTCCCTCCGCCAGGTAATCCAATGATAGCAATATTCAATGGTGGCTTCTCAGAATGATCAGTTCCGACAATTTTTTGGCATTCCTTAATCAGTTCTTTTTTTTCATTATACTTAGGATCATCTTCTTGATTTACTTTTGGAATGATACGATGAGCTTGATTGTAATACTGTTCTACAAAGGAATTCTCCCACACTTCTCGGTCCATCTGGAAGTAGAAATATATGTATAGAAGTATCTGTCGTAATAAAAAGACATCAAAAGAAAGACAAACTATCGATTTTCTCTTTTGTAATGAAATATCAGAACGAAAAAAATGAAACTCATGTGACTGTATGCGTGAATGTGTATTGGGTATTTAATTATGGAGATATGGCATTCAACAATTAGCAAAACCAATACCGTATGGTAATTCATAAAACGCCCGGTATGACAAAGTGTATAAAAATTTACACGAGAAAACAATTTCCTTATTTAAACACACCAATGAATAAAAAAAAATTGCAGTATAACAGACTGTGAGTAGCAATAGCCACTGGATTACAGGTTCCTTACTTGGGAAAAGCATATAAAAGAGTGTGGCGGTTTCAACATGTCTGCGACTGCTCAAATCTCCCCTAACCTTGTACATTAGTGTTACAACACAACATTTTTACTATCCGGAAAAACAAGATATTGTGTGCTGTCTCACCTAGAAGAACTAACTACCACGTGCAGGTACTCTTTGAATGCTTAACATAATAAACATATAAAGGAAACAATGGAAATAATGGAAATATTGAAGTCATACATTTGTATTAAAATTGTTTTAACGAGCCTCAGCCGAGTTGTGAGTCAAGGTATGAACGATGCCAAGCTGTATCCTCTGTTCTCGGTATTTCAATAGAAAACTTTAGAGATGTGGTAAAATTGCCAACTAGAAATAAAGACCATAGGACATCGATTTGAACAATTACAAGTCACCGCATGGTTTTCAGCACTGGGTGAAACGCACACCGTAAGGTAATTTAAAACTACAATAGCACGGTAGGTAAAGTGTCCGGCTGAGATCGTGTTTTTTTTAGTGAATCGGTCTACTTTTTTTGTGTGAAGATCAGGTTTTTTCGAGTGATATTACTTGCGATCAGATCGATTAACTGCTATTTCGCGAATGTAATAGTTGTATTCGTGACTGTTCATCTTATTCTGAATGCCGCGTATACGTTTTGAGCACAAACGACGCATAATGTCCGCATAGTTCAATCACAATTCAATGTTTGATATTGTCCGTGTTTTTTCGAGAGCAACATCTAAAACGTCCGGGTTTTTCAACAAATGGTCCGGGTTTTTTTAAGAAAATGTTAATAAGAAAGAAGGCAATCTTGGGCTTAAAATCGTTTATTCTTAAGTCACAAAAACGTATTACTATATTGATCAAATTTAACCCTTTTCAATTTAATGATAACTTTCTGTTCTGAAAACATATTACATGTACCATAACCTTGCAGTACTATGATATTATTAGTTACATAATGTGCTAGTGACCTAATACGGTATATATGGGGGTCAGTAAATTCCATATGGGCGAGAGCGAAGCTCGAATCCCCATATGGAATTTACTGACCCCATATATACCGTATTACGTCACTAGCACACTATGTAACGAATTTATCTTACCGACTATCTTAACGTGTGACATTTAAACTAGTGACCTATCAAAATGAGCAAGTCTTCAATACCGTTAGCATTAAGAAACTACTTCCATTGATCCTACAAAAACAGATGCCAACAATAACAACTTGTTAAGTTTAAATGTGTTTTATAAATTTATTTCATCCTTCATCATCAATTTCTTCGTCTGTTGAAACCTTTAAGATTTTTTCTCAGTACCGTTTTGTTTTTATAAAGGGACATCACACCTCTACTAACCGTGTATGAAATAAGCCCCGCCTCCCTACTAACCTAATATGGAATATACACGGTCTCCACGCGGACGCTTTTAACCAATCATATTCCTAGAAATGTATAGGCGGTAAGATAAATAAGAAATCACTGGGTCCTTTTTAAAACGATCTTTAGAACCGAGAAGAGGAACTCCTAATCTTTTCAATTTCGATTCATGCTACCTTTGTTTTTACCGTCAATACTTTTTTATGATTTGAATTGAATATTTAATAAAACATTAAAACAACACTTTATAAACTTCATGTGTCCGAAGCGCTTTTATGGATTTACTTTCATCCAGGACGCTCAACGTCGAATATTTGAAAGCCAATGATATATAAGAACCGAAACATTTGAAGAGCTATATTACCAAAAGGATCTAAAGAATATCCAAATCTATCAATGGTCAACTTTGCTTGATGGGGTTGAAACCTTAGTTTCTTTATAATTTTCGAATTTATAAACGGGCAATTTAATAAGGGTATATTGGATATAAACAGAAATTTTGCCTTGCAACAGGCCACCTTCGGACCTCTTGCAAGCTGTTGCAAGGGTTCTTAACGTGCAGTGATCGTGGAACTCTGTACACGTTCCATTCTGACCGGACGTGGCTGCCTAATTGAACATCCTGAACAGCCAAACGAACACCCAACTTTGGCAATGATTTTACTGCCGGTCGGAAGAGGACCTAAGTGACCATATTTCTATTTCCCAGTCCCCCTTGCAGGTAGTCAAATTTAGAAAGGTTTGTTATAAATCATGTCAGTACCGAAGTACTAACTACTGAGCTGATGATAAACTCAGGGACTTATTCAATATATTTGATAAACAACGAAATAAATAATCTGTAAGCTTTAATACGATCCTTTTCAATCTAATTAAAATTCATATCTATATTAACTCTGATATAGTTATAATCTTATGAGTATAACGAAATCAGAGATACATATTTTAATTAGATTGGATCCTTCTGAAATAATAAAAAAAAAACAATTGTGCATATAACATATACATCACAAATATAATTCTTTAATTAATTTCTGATGGAAATGAAGCTATGATACACTAAGTCCTTTATTTCTATGTGACAAAGTATAGCATACGCTTGTGTTTTCCATTTCTAGAAAGATAAAACATATTTTCATCAAGACAAACAGTACATGAAACAATTAGGATGTATTTTCTGTTTTAAAAAACACACATTTACCCGCTTTACACACTATGTGTTCGTACGTCTCAATCCAACATGTCTAAGCTCACATAAAGATTGTTTACATCACGAAATAATTTCTGTATGAAATCCATATCGGTACACTTATATGAAGATATCTGAATACAAATGAACGATGCCATTTTTTAATGTACGTGTTAATACAGCATTATCAAACTGGTTTAATGCATTGTTTCGTGCTTTGGAAAGTACTTTATTTGAACCTTTTAATTGTTTTTAAACGTAAATGCACTGACATATTACATTCTAAGCCATAGGATTTTTTTGTCACTCGATAAAACAGGGACGCACTCGAAAAAACACGGACTGCTCTCGAAAAAACACGGACATATAAAAATTAATTTACTCTCCAAAATGTACTTTTCAATGCAAAAACAAGATTCTTTGTAAAATGTCTGTATATCTAAGTATATATAGATTCAATATAAGCATTTCCGTTCACATTTGCATTTGTATGTGTATAAAAATGCCTTTAATCTATATTTTGGAATAAAGCATTGTAAGACTAAATTAAACGCTCTTAAAACAAAATAAAGTAGGGTTGATAATAAATATTTATCACAAATATTAATTTACCTTCTATGATATTAAATTTAAGGTTCTGGCATTTTTTTACGTCTCACCAGAAAAGAAGTCAGTTTGTTTACATTTTTGATCACATTCACTCGACAAAACGTGGTCACACTCGAAAAATCCTTACCGCGAATAGGACCCGAGAAGAAAAAAAAAGAAACTACGGAAAGCTGCAATCAAAATAATCATCAGACAAGTATCTAGTAAAACGGAAAAATAAATTAAAATATGAATAACGGAAAATGTTAACTTTTTCATATTTTTATGAAGGCCTAGTAGGTATTAATTTTTCGCATACAAATACAGAACAAATACAGCGGAAAAAAGCGCAAAATTGATTTCCATAAGAATGCATAATGATGATTTTACAAACTTATTAGATACATCAAAATATGTTTTCAATTAAAAACATACACAAAAAAAGTTAGCAGGTTCATATATGTTTTAAGAGGTTTTTCATCACGAAGGCTTATTTATCTCTACGTAAAACAGGAAACTTTTACTGACATGCGTATTATAGTTGGACGTTTTATTTTTTTCAAACAAAGTTTATTTTATTTGATAAATTGCATTAAATGAAGTCATTATTTATGTGCATTATCACATCCGTTGTGACTTTTATACCGAATAACTTCCGAAATGCATCAACACCATAACATTAAACGTATTTGAGAAATAAGAATAGGAACATACAGTAAAGAAATGACTGGTATGGTGATTATTTGCTACGTATGCATGTTTAAGAATTCTTTATAAAAATAAGAAGATGTGGTATGATTGCCAATGAGACAAATCTCCACCAGAGACCAAATGACATAGATGTTTACAACTATTGGTCACCGTACGGCTTTCAACAATGGGCAAAACCCATACCGCATAGTCGGCTATAAAAGGCCCCGAAATGACAAATGTTAAACAATTCAAACGAGAAAACTAAGGCCCTGATTTATGTACAAAATAATGAACGAAAAACAAATATGATATGCAGCAACAAACGACTACCACTGAATTATAGACTCCCGACTTGGGACAGGCACATACAGAATGTGGCGGGTTTAAACTAGTTTGTTGGCGCCAAACCCTCTCCTTAACATGAAATAGTGGTGTAACAGTACAACATGAGAACAAACTATAAGATCAGTTGAAAAGGGCTTAACTCATCAGATCGATACAAAGCAGAAATACATCTAAGAAAAACAGAGTGGACGTGGCAGGCTAATTATACATGCACACAACAAAAAAACCCTAAGTACTGATCTGAGAGTACTCGCAGTTACTGACTGCTAGTTAAAAGTCAATAACAGGTAATTTTAAAAATCATGCATCTAAGACTAAATTTTACTAGTTTGTCAAATCAAAGAGTAATCTAGCGTCTACTGAGATTTGACAAATACATAGGACGAAAAATAGAGTTTAGATAACATGATGGCAACAAAAATCCCCAATTTTAATTAAAACATACAACACCATGGCAAGAAAGAAAAAAAAATGACTTAAAGACAAAGAACAGTCCACAATCGCTTCACAGAACACCAACGATCGAATTGAGTAATACGAAGCCCAACACAATCGATTCTTTAGTTAACTCAGGTTTTGTGGAAGGGTGGGCATATCTGCTCTACATGTTGTACCCGTTTTGCTATTCGTTGCAAGACAATATTCGGTTATAAGTTGTAATCGGTGCTGTCATTATCGCAGAAAGTGGACCTAATCGTGACTTTGACAATAATTTAATACAATCATGTATATCTGAGATCATATGTGGCACAGATATTCCCTAACAGTCAACCTATTCATCATTACGTCTGTCAAACTTTCGAAATGATGACTTTAACTTTACCATTTTGCATTCTTGGTTCAGTATATTCCTTCGTAATAACATGAACGGTACCAATTGTTTTGCACCAGATGCGCATTTTGACAATTCATGTCTCTTCAGTGATTCACGAGGCCAACATATTCAAAAGTTAAAAACCGTGAAGAGCTGATAAAACCAAACAGGACCAAAAGTAAAATCAAAACCGGACAAGGAATCAGGGTTAAGCATGAGGAAGATACAATCCTGAATTTAAAATGATTTCGAAATTTTACAACACAATATTGGTATTTTCGTGACAGTAGTGAAATAATCGTAGATAGTGAAAAAAATCTTCTTCGTTTTATTTTTGTTAGCCACATTACTAAAGAACACAATTGGTGACCAAGTGTTAAATCTCTTAGTAACGATTTTCAACTTCGTTTAATTTAGTGAAAAACAATGTTCTTGATATACAATGAAACTGCTTCCTTACCCTCTAGATGTATCTTTCTTCAATGCTTTCACTGTTTTCCATTATAAACAACAACAAATGATAATAATAGTAAGTAGATAAATTAACAGACAAAAAACTTTTATCAAAGAACATAATAATGTTTGCAAAAACGTCACGTGTTTTTTGTTTTTTGTTTTGTTTTTTGTTCTCCGTATGTTTGATGTGACATTCATCATGGTCATAGTCCATCTCACAAAATAAAAAGATAGTAAACGAAACTAACGCAGTCGTTAAACAATTAATCAAATTTAAAGTTTGTTGTGAAAAAGAAGCAACATGACTGTACAAATGTATCGTATTTTCCAAAAATGGCTACTAAAGTATTTAAATAAATATGCAATTACCATTTGTAGTTTTCAGGGACGCCACGGAAACTCGGTGGAAATTAAATGTATTTTTAACTTTTAATACTTCCCTGTTAAAAAGCAGTGATGTGTATCAAGGTTAATTAATTATACGTTCATTTTAGAACATTTCCTTTCAGCTTTTTAAAAAATATTTTGACAAATTAATGTTAAATGATGAATATACGAAAATGTTTTCAAAGCCTTTGTTACCATGTAAACGCAGAAACAATGATCGCCTGATTCATATCTAATTCTTTATATGTTAATTTAGTTTGGAAAACATGTATAAAACTCTTTGTTATACTGCTACATTTGATTTTCCAAAAGTTTTAGGTGATTGTCCTTAAACTACTTTCCTATATGACTTACCGTTAACGTAAAGTTACGATCTTCGTTTCTGAACCGAAACTAAAAGTTTAATTACACCATTTGGAACTCCTCTGATTCTATCTATATATATAACACAGAATTAAGAAATATTGCACGCCTGACTTAATGTGTATATGTCAGCAAAAAGTCATTGACTGAAGGACATCATAATTTTTGACACACAACAAAACTGAATAGTTTAAATGTAATGTACACGTCTTAATTGATTAGTTCAAATGTGTGTGTGGGTCAGAATCGAAAACATACAAATTCCTTTGAGTATGACAGTTACTTTTCTTGTTTTTTTTTTTGTTTTTTTTTTTGAAATTTTCACTATTAAAAAATCTTTCTGTTATCTTAAGGTATAATTAATATTCTACCGCAATTTATTGTAAGGATTTACTCTTCGGATAGTTATTTAATATAATATTTCCTTTCTTTTGAAATTTGGGTTTCTTCGTTTGATACCTGCGCGACGTATATAAAGATAGGAAGTAGTATTATTTAGTCTTGTTCTTCAATAGTACGTATTCAAATACAGTTTGGTGTTAGGTACAAATGGCACAAAATGTTTGGTGATGTGAAGGGGTGTGTATGACACGTCGTAACCACTTTAATGAATTAATTCTACTTCATCTCATAAAAACGGGATTATCTCAGCGTAATCCCGGATTACCTCACTGTCTTGGATTGAGCTGAGATAAACCAAGATTTGATAGGATATTTGATGATAATCCGTGATTTCCTAGGAAAAATAAAATTGAGAATGGAAATGGGGAATGTGTCAAAGAGACAACAACCCGACCATAGAACAGACAACAGCAGAAGGTCACCAACAGGTCTTCAATGCAGCGAGAAATTCCCGCACCCGGAGGCGTCCTTCAGCTGGCCCCTAAACAAATATATATACTAGTGCAGTGATAATGAACGCCATACTAAACTCCAAATTGTACACAAGAAACTAAAATTAAAAATAATACAAGACTTACAAAGGCTAGAGGCTCCTGACTTGGGACAGGCGCAAAAATGCGGCGGGGTTAAACATGTTTATGAGATCTCAACCCTCCCCCTATACCTCTAGCCAATGTAGAAAAGTAAACGCATAACAATACGCATTAAAATTCTGAATCAGTTCAAGAGAAGTCCGAGTCTGATGTCAGAAGATGTAACCAAAGAAAATAAACAAAATGACAATAACACATAAATAACAACAGACTACTAGCAGTTAACTGACATGCCAGCTCCAGACTTCAATTAAACTGACTGAAAGATTATGTTTTCATCATATGAATATCAGGCACAATCCTTCCCGTTAGGGGTTTAGTATCATACCATCATAACATATATGAGAAGAACATAACCCGTGTCATGCCAACAACTGGTTTTTAAATAAATGTGTTTAGTGCCGATGCAAAGACCCTATAAGTGAATCAATATTAACGCCAAAATATGCAATCTTTAATGACCTGACAACAGTATCGTAACTATATCCCTTCTTAATAAGTCTATTTAAAGGTTTTGTTAGCTTCAGAGGTGAATACTGACATTTTTGTGCTTTATAAAGAATATTTCCATAAAAAATTGGATGTGAAATACCTGAACGTATAAGAAGTCTGCATGTTGAGCTATATTTACGAATGATGTCCTTATACCGATGATAAAATTTAGTAAATGTTTTGACTAGTTTGTGATATCGAAAACCCTGGTGTAATAATTTTTCAGTAATACATAAATTTCTCTCGTTAAAATCTAAAACATTGTTACATACACGAGCGAATCGTACAAGTTGAGATATATAAACACCGTAAGATGGTGACAAGGGAACGTCACCATCTAAAAATGGATAATTAACGATAGGAAATGAAAAATCATCTCTTTTATCATATATTTTAGTATTAAGCTTTCCGTTAATGATATAGATATCAAGATCGAGGAAAGGGCAGTGGTCATTGTTAGTATTAGCTTTATTTAAAGTAAGTTCAACAGGATAAGTTTCTTTAGTATACATACTGAAGTCGTCATTATTGAGAGCCAAAATATCATCCAAATATCTAAAAGTATTATTAAATTTGTGTATCAGATGTTGTTTCGATGGGTCTTTGCTGATTTTTGTCATAAATTGTAACGCATAGCAATACAAAAAAAGGTCCGCAATAAGTGGTGCACAGTTAGTCCCCATTGGAATTCCGATAACCTGACGATATACGGAATCTCCAAAGCGAACAAAAATGTTATCTAGTAAAAATTCAAGGGCATATATAGTATCAAAGCATGTCCTATTGACATAGTTTTTTTGTTTATTGCTACTAAAAAATGACCTAAAAGAGTTTGAACATATATATTCACATTCTGCCTTTTTAAATGCCCATTTAATTAGGTGTGTAAATTTTTTCTTAATGAGAATGTGAGGCAATGTGGTATATAGGGTAGAAAAATCAAAACTTTGAACAGATTCAAAATCACCAATATATGCATGTAATTTATCAAGTACTTCCATATAGTTCTTGACACTCCAAAAGTAATTAATTCCACTATTTTCGATTGCCTTATTTGAACAATTTATTATCAGGTTTTTGATTGTACCAAGTGTACTGGTGAGAAGAATAGACAATTTAGTAGTGGAACAATGGCTTGAAGACGAAATGAATCTATATTTGTAAGGTGTTTTGTGTAGCTTCGGAAGCCAATACATAGTTGGGACTTTCATTGTATTTGGTTCTGCTTGTAAAGCGGTAGCTAAAAGTTTATGTTTGTTACAGATGTCGTTTTCTGAAAATGGAGTCAGTTGGAATGTTGGTGAATTGGTGATTTCTTTTTTTCCGAACCTCAATGTAAAATTTACGTCAAACAATAATAATATTATTAGCAGCTTTATCGGCCGGGACAAAAACAAATTCCTTGGCTAGTTCTTTTAGTTTATGTTTGATACGAGAAATAGGTTTATTGTGGTTATTGTTAAGAGTAAAATGTTCTTTAAAATGTTGAATACGTATATCAACTATGTTCATTACTGAATTAAAAAAAGAGTCCAAAGATTTTTTGTCAGCTTTTTCCCGTTTTATCCATTTCAAACAGTAAGTATGGAGTGAGTCGTGGATGATATTACGACACTCATTCCAATTAATAATTGACGGGGGACGATATCTAGGTCCTTTACTGAGGAATGATTTTAACTCTCGGTCTTGAACGATGTTAAGATCTCCTGTTATAACATAGGAAATGGGTCCATAAATGTATTCTGAATTACTGCAATTACATGAAGTAGGTGTATTTTCACTGATATTAACATCTTTACACAATTGGCTATAATTAAACACAAATTTCCGGGTAGATTTCTTGTAAATATAACAAATAAGAGGGAGCTCAGTATTATCAAAATATCCCGGAATTTGTTCTTTAACAGAATGGTCGTTAAAAATACCGGCAATATTTATAAAATCAAAACCTTTATTGACATACTTTATTTTAATAAACTGTTTTTTATGATCTTCAGGGCGATCAATTTTGGGAAACAGTTTAGAATAACAATATGCCATTATAATTTGAACGATTTCATACTTGGGACTGCTATATGAAATTGTGTTGCAATCCTCTAAAATTTTATTTAACTTATTAACCGGTAATGAACAGAGCTTTGTTAACAGCTAATGTCTGCCGTTGTTTTTTGAAATAGAAATTAGGTCCGAAATATTGGTATGATTGGTCCGAAATTTTCTTTCATTGCGATTTTTTCTACGACCATGAGAACGGTTTTTACGAACAGATTTAGAAACTATATCCAAAATGTTAACAGAATCGGTTCTTGATATATTACCAATTCCCATGATATTATCATTAAGACCGAGAGGGTAGACTGTCTGTAATTTTTTAATCCAATTTAATTCAATTATTTTCCGTGATCGTACAAACTTTGAATGAGATTCACCAGGCTGCTTATTTACTACTTCTAAAGGTTGAACTGCTAAATATTTAATAGGATGATTGTGCTTCTTAAGGTGTTGATAAATGATACTTTTGAACTTATTGGGTCTTTTAAAACGATACAGATGTTCTTGAGTGCGTTTAGATAAATATCGTCCAGTTTCACCTACGTACTGAATACCGCATCCCGGTTTGTTTCATGTGAGTAAATAAATAATACTGTTTGTTTTTCAAGTTACATAATGTATATCAGTTTCAAAATTTAAAGAAAATGTGCGACCATTAAACGTGGACCTTACCGTATTGTTGGTGGAAAGACGGGGACATGTAAGTAATTTTTTGGCATGACACTTATCGATAGAAGGGTAACCACGATTTTTATTGTTAAAAATGTTAGCGATGGTAGTATTTTTAGATAAGCGATTTTGAAGATTGAGACGTGTAGATACCCTTTGAACGAGTTTAGTATTTAATATTTTTCCATTTCTAAGCTTCATATTTGTTTTTTGTTTATGAATTATATTAGAAAGGAGCAAAGACTGGCGTCCAGAATATGAACCAGCATACAATGAATTAAATTATGTAAAAATGATAAATCTGTTCGGCTAAAGATGTCAAAAGTATATAAGCCGGGATATTCCCCAGATAAATATTTTATCTTACCATTTTGAGAAAATATAATTGCCATGTGAGCAAAATTTGTCTTCATTTAGTTTAATAATTCAATACAAAATACAAATAATATTATAATAATTTCTAGTAAAAGATACCAATACAGAACCACCGCTTTCTGGGTAGATAGTACCCCCCTCCCGACCTACAGTCATTCATTAAACGTACAAGCCAAGCCGCAAGTACTTCGTACATTGTACAAGTCCTATGAATATGACATCGGGTTCATGTTTTATATTTAACGATATTTGCTCTTTATATTTATGTCTGAGCCCGATGTCTTATCGGAAGTCACATTTTCCCCGAAGCAAAATCTGAAAATTCATCAAATTTCATTTAAAGACCGCACCGAATAAATTTGACGATTTAATCAATTATGAATTTATAACGACGTTATCGTCGGTTTATTATGGGTAAAGCATTTATTTTGTAAGAAATTTTAAAATTCTATATAATATCTCGCGCGATCGGTTGACTTAAGTTGTATGCATATTTCAAGATTACTACTGAGTAATAAATCAGTGTTTTCTAAATTTCTATGCAAAATACGTAAATGTTGTGCAAAACTAGGCACTGTAACGTTTTTTTTTTATCACATTTCATGAAAACAAACACTTATAAATAAGAAGATTTGGTATGAGACTTAATTTGCTTTCAGTGTGCACCTGGAAGATATTTGGTGTAATGTTCTTTCCGTCCTTAAAGCATGTCGGAAAGTGCTATAGAAAAATTGCCATATCCGATATAACTTCGCATTTCAACAAAACAGCCTTAAAGACGTAGAAATTATACACTTGCTGATCTGTTATCTATAATAAAAATAATGGCAGACATCAAGTATTATGCAAACTGGGTCAGATACCAATAAGTAAACTATATTCTATTTTTCTGGAGTGTGATAAAATTTCTTTTTTAGCCCGTTTTATGAATACACCCGTATTATTACAGCCTTTTGTCATCACAGGCTGTTTCCTAGTATCGATAAACCTGAAAATCATAATCGACATTTTCTTAAATTAAAATATATAAATAGAGGTATTGATTTTATTAACTTATCTAGCATATTCAATGACTCTTCCGTCTATAGCCAAATACCTCCATATTTTGATAATATAGAACCACCCATTATTTCGTATTCTTATAAAAAAAAACGAGCAGAAGTTTGATTTTTAATTATACGTCGGTAACATCAGACGTTAATATAGAAAATAATGTTCCTTCCACTTGAGAATGTGAAACATCTAGTTTTAGATATGTTCCCTATGGTCATGTTATTACAGGAGACCGTACCTCAACATCGTCGAAGACCGTGAGGTCAAAACTTTTCTAAAGAAAGGACTCCAAGTACTCGCAGAGCGGTTTGTGTTCGTACCGGCAGACAAGGCAGCCAGTAATGTAGTGGTAGTATGACGCATATACTACACGGAAGTTCTTCAAAACGAAATTATCAATTCCTCTACATTCAGGTCCGTACGCACCACTGAGAGTCAAATCGTTAACAAGCATATCACTGCCACTACCCAGCTTAAAGCCTCTTCCGAACATTTCAAAGTCCCTACCATGTACTGGTTACCGAAATTACACAAAAACCATTTAAATTCCGTTTCATCTCCGCACTACTAATATATCAGTGCTTCTTACTACCTCCCTTACTACTATCAAAGAACTGGTTATTAACTTTTGTAATAAAGCTTATGAAAATAATGGTATTAATTATTTTTGGGGTGTTAAAAATTCTTTAGAGGTTTTAGATAAAATACATGCTTTTGATGGTCCTTTTGGTTCTGTTGACAGTTATGATTTTTCTACTCTCTACACTACACTCTCATACAATCTAATAAAGAAAAAATTTTCATATTTAATAAAATGGTCTTTCGAAAAATCTCATTGTAAATTTATTTGCTGTAACTCGTTTAAAGCTTTTTTCTGTGACGAAAAAGGAAAGTATGCTAGATACACTTACTGGAAATGTGAGAATATGATTGAAGCTTTAAATTTTCTCCTAGATAACATATATATGTACGTTTCGGCGATAAAGTGTATCGTCAGGTAGTAGGTATTCCTATGGGCACTAACTGCGCCCCTTTAATAGCAGATTTATTCCTGTATTGCTATGAATCTCAGTTTATGACCAAACTCAGTAGAGACACATCATTGTTACATTTGGTTGATACATTTAACAATACCTACCGTTATCTGGATGATATTTTTTCGTTAAATAATCCAGAGTTCTCTAAATATACTACCGAAATTTACCCAAAAGAACTTACTTTAACTAAATATAACATAAACAGCAGCAGTTGTCCTTTTCTAGATTTAGACATCTCAATTTCTAAAGGGAAACTCCATACTAAAATTTACGACAAAAGAGACGATTTTTCATTCCGTATTGTTTATTTTCCTTTTTAAGACGGCGATGTGCCTTTGGCTCCATCATACGGTGTTTATATATCCCAACTCGTTCGGTATGCCCGTGTGTGTAGTGATGTCATAGATTTTAACGAACGTAATCAATGCATCACTGGTAAATTATTAAGTCAGGGATCTCGTTACCATAAATTACTTAAAACTTTTACTAAATTTTTTCATAGATACAAAGATTTGATTAGTAAATGTGGCTGTACCTGTAGAAATCTTATTAAAAATGGTATTTCACATCCTAAATTTTGTGGTAATATTGTACTTAAAGCGCGGAAATCATTATGTGATCCGTGTAAACTCATCGAACCTTTAAACAAACTTATCAGTAAGGGTAATCGTACCAATGTTGTAATTAGATCTCTGAATATAGTTTACATTGGTACTAATATCGATTTTGTCATTAGCAAATTAAAACATAACTAAATTTGTATTTTCTTTTCAAACGGGATGTATAGACACACACACACACGTTCATTTTTATCTATAAAGAAGTCACTAACTATTCTTCTACCTGTCGATACATTTATTTTTGGCATTGCACAAGTCATTTCTTCTTTGACTGTTCATGACGTTAAAATACTAAATCCCTGGGATGTATTTTAGTTGATTTTAGTCTCTGATGCATGATTTTTTATTATTAATTGTTTTGGCTTTCAACTAGCTGTCAGTAACTGCGAGTACTCTCAAATCATACTTTCTTTTTAATTTGACCTGTTGATACTATTTGTAATGCTTTTTTGTTATTCAATGTTAACATGGATCTTGTCTATATACCAGCTTTGATTATTTGGTATTTAATTATTATTAGTTTTATTGATATTAAAGAAATTTCATGGTATTCCTAAACGGAAGATTTTATACACACAGAAGAAGAAGTATACTTAACAACAAAATTATTTTCATTTACCTGTGTATAATAGTACGTGTTGAAGGCCGTACCTTGACCTATAATGGTTTACTTTTATAAATTGTAACTTTGATGGAGAGTTGTCTCATTGGCACTCATACCACATATTCCTATATCTAAACACAAAAAGCGAAGTCATGTGTTATAAGGCTTATATTGTATGGACAAGTGTACATGAATACCTTGAGATATTGAAAAGGGAAAATGTGGAGCTTTCGTTTAAGAGACTTTACATGTATGTTTCATAAGAATCTGCACTTTTGAGGCATTCCAAAATCAAATTGTACTTCTATATAAAATACAACATTCATAATTGCACGTGCTTCCCACGACAACCGGTTACTCAAATGAATACATGTAGGAAACAAACGAAATGTTGATATAACTCGTTATTTTATAATCGTAGCATATACATGTAATTATAATAATTGAATGCTTCTGTTTTGAAATTTTATATTGTTGTAAAAAAGCGTTGATTATGCGCACATTGTAAGTATGAAGCGCTTACGCTTATAATTAAAAAAACTGCGAATCACAAATAATTGGAAATAAGAAATTTCGATAGTCAAAAAATCAATACCAACGTTATCGTTGAAGATTTTAGCTACGAAAGAATCCGTCAAATCAAAAGCAAATCATTTTGACAAATCATGTATTGTTACAAACCAAGAAAAAATTGAAACTGAGAATTTAAGCAATAAAAGGATACATCAATATCTCGTTCAACACAAAATTTCTCCAAACATGGGCAGAAACAAATGAAAAATTAGACAAACAAACAAAATTCAATTGTACTAAAAAAAATACTTAAATTTACACATCAAAATTTAGAACTGAAGAAACTTATAGGCTCACCTCAGATGATATTCCGACAATGGCGGGGTTTTTTCCCGGATATTTCTGCATTGTATCAAATCAGAAACATTAAATCCGATCATATCCGATACAATATTTTGTACATTTGATTGGATTAAAGTTTTTTGGTGTTATTATTTTGTATTTATAATAATGTAAACTGCTGACAAGTGAACAAATCCTTCACCGCTTATTTTGGGTCTTCTTCTACAACCCCCCCCCCCCCCCCCCCCCCCCAAAAAAACAAATTAATAAAATCAGAGTGGGTTAATCCACTCAAAACAGTGTGAAACAAGCATATAGTAATGTTCAGTATGCGGTATACAAAGGTTGTATCAGGCGCAGAGCTGCTACTCCATGATTCAAATATGAAATAAACAAGACAAAATTAATGTAACTAAGTGCACACACAGCTTGTATCATAAAACATACTATACCTAACTCAGCACGTGTTTTTTTTTTCTTACTTGCTGGTAAGAAGGTTTTGAATACTTGATTGATTTGACGCAGAGCGTCTGCAAAAATAGACAAGGTCTTAAACAGAACAAGCATGTAATTAAAACTGTACATTTCCGGTGATCTAATTGTCCGCTATTTATTGTAAGACATATATAGAGCGCTGGTCATTTCAATTTGAAGTATGTTAAGTGTAATGTATACTTTTCTCGAGTTTAAATTGCACATGTATAAAAAATATCAAAATAATTTGGGTTTGTAAAGTGTGTGTGCTGGGATTTTGTTTACTGAAATTAATACAGCATATTTCCTCTATTCAATAAAACATCTATGAATAAATAAAACAAGAATTTCAGTCGTTTAGTCGATGTCTTTTACACACATTTTCATATAGAACAATCAAGTTGTCAAAGTTATTTAATTCACATCAATTTATTTCCTACAAAAAAGCACAAATAATATAAACAATAATAATATAACAGTTACTGCTGCTTTGAATGCAGCCCACGGTTCGGACAAATTAGGCACATACTTCCCATTCTTGGTTCTACGATGCTCATAGTCCTGGTCTGTTGGTTCTGCAGTCAAAACCTTAAAGAGAGCATAAAATGGACATATGAAACAACACGATAAAACAGATCAAGTAAAATTTTAAAGAAAGAGCAGAATTCAACATTAATATCAGATAATAAACTTTTGAAAATGATATGCTTAATGAAAGGTAAAGCTTTTGCAACCTTTTAAAGAAAAATGAAAGAAATTTGATCAATCTTAAGGAAAAGTTGTATTTATATAGGTACATTAATATTTATGGGTGACAGCTGTTCTAAATTAACAAGTGCATTTTGAAAGACAAAAAAAAATTTTTTAAATCTGGATCAGATTAATAGAGTGCGGAATTTGAAAATTCATTTGGTTTACGACGGGAAAATTAACACAATCTATTTATTAGGGATTGCAAATACGTAAAACATTAGTTAAACAAAACAAAAATAACATGTAAACGCTTTATATCTCTAGAATTGGCAAACCGAAGCAGGAAATGAAAATTTGGCTTTCAATGCGTTTTTTTTTAATAATATTAACATTAAGTCGTGTGTACAAAGATAATTTAATCCGTATTTACACACACAACTGATCAGAAGTGATTAATCTTTGCAAAATTCATAATTATAACATAAACAAGATATTGAAAACCCCTTCTATGAATATATTAAGAGTCAAGACATTAAATGATGCATTAATTCAGTAAGTTGCTTAAAACAACTAAATGCATAAATCTCACCTGTCTCATGAGCCGCAATACAGGTACATCTAAGGAAGGTATAATAGTATCTTCATATGTCAGTTTCGGATCTATATCCGGACAGTAATTTTTGACTCTTGCAAAACGATTCTTTGGAATTCCAAGCGCCCTCATGAATTTCTTTTCTCTCTTCAAAACGTTTTGATCTCTAGATTTGTATTTGTCTGCCTGCGTGAGAACACCATATAAGGTAATATCTGGAAAAGAAAAGCAGATTAAAAAAATGAACTTTTAGATCTTTGTGTCTTTAAATTTGTCTTTTTGTTATTTATTTTTTGTGAAGCGTACCGATCTGATGAGTCACTCCATCTCCAACTGTTGATTGCTCTTATGATGGATTTTTATACCACTGTCCTGGTCTAGGTGGAAGGGTTAGAACTCACAAATAGGTTAATCCCACCACATTCTTTATGTGTCTGTGCCAAGCCAATTACATGTAATCCAAACTGAATAGTTGTCGTCGGTTGCTATCTGTCATATCTGTTATTCGAATTCATTGTTGTAGTGTAAATATGACAGACTTGTGCCTTTTATAGCTGACTATACGGCATTGGTCTTGATTATTGTCGAAGGCCTTACTATGACCTGTGATTGTTTAAATATATGTCATTTGGTCTTTATAGATTAGTTCAACTTGTCATCTTCTAAGTTTTTATAAAATTATTATCATTTTATGTATATAAGTTCAGTGTTTTAGAGTGTGATGAACTCACCTCTCTCTCTGTTGGTAATATCAGTGATGGCTTCAAACAGATTTTCTGGTAAGGGCTGATCTGGGTTTGCCGAACAAACAACAAAAATTCTATTCACTCGAAGATACTCTTCCCTATTCTCAATGACAGAAAAATCTAAAAGCTTCGAAACAGGATTCCTGCTTTCTTGTTTTCGAATAATACCAAAATAGTTTCCACCAAAATACTTTTCTTTGACAGCATTAACACCAAAATGTTGTCCATATTTTATCACGTCATGAAGTTCTTCTCCTTCTTTCAGTTTTCCGCATAAAACAATATTTAAAAGTTCTTTATTCAATGGAGCGTCGTCATCTTCAAATCCTGTCATATCAAGAAACGTTGGCAAAAGATATTCATCTCTGTCTTTGTAGTAATCTTTCTTTTGGAAACTGAAACAGAGGGTAGAATAAGCATTCTTTGAAAAGCAAATGCAGAAATAAAACAATTTTATCTGAATTATAACAGAAACAGGTTATGCATTCAAATATATTTAATAGACAAAGAGGAAAAGCAAGAGTTTTTTTTTCTTACATGTTTTTTTTTTTTTTTGGGGGGGGGGGTTTGGTTTTATTATGTAGCCAATGTGTTTTTACGTATGCTATATAGTTTCTTTTGTATTGGAATTATAAATTGTTGGAGACCAGCTACTGTATGTATGCTTACATTTTTAAAGATTATGAAATTATAAACATCTTGAAGGCATACATAGGCAATACAGACCATCATCTTTAAATTTAAAATTATTATACGCATATGTTCTTGAATATAAATACATGTATGTCCTCCATCACCGTCCATCCCTACCTTGCAAATCCTACCTATTGTATTAATTGTTTCATGTGCTTGTCCTAAACATGCATGAAGTATTTGACACTGGGCGGAAAGAAAACAACTATCATTCAATCAATCTTGACATTATATAATAAAATGCTCCGCAGGGCGCAGCTTGATACGACCGCAGAGGTCGAACCCTGAACAGTTGGGGCAAGTATGGACACAACATTCAAGCTTGATACAGCTCTGAATTTGGATTGTGATTAAATATTTGACACAGCAAAGGTTTCTGACACAGAATGAATGTGGTCTAAGAACTTAAAAATTTTAAATTGGACATTCACCTATTATGGTCCAATATCCAAAATCTAAATACATGGTTAGATTCAGCATATCAAAGAACCCCAAGAATTCAATTTTTGATGAAATCAAACAAAGTTTAATTTTGGACCCCGATTTGGACCAACTTGAAAACTGGGCCCATAATCAAAAATCTAAATACATGTTTAGATTCAGCATATCAAAGAACCCTAAAAATTCAATTTTTGTTAAAATCAAACTAAGTTTAATTTTGGACCCTTTTGACCTCAATGTGGACAAAGTTGATAACGGGGCCCAAAAATCAAAAATCTAAATACATGGTTAGATTCAGCATATCAAAGAACCCCATATATTCAATTTTTGTTGAAATCAAACAAAGTTTAATTTTGGACCCCGATTTGGACCAACTTGAAAACTGGGCCCATAATCAAAAATCTAAATACATGTTTAGATTCAGCATATCAAAGAACCCTAAAAATTCAATTTTTGTTAAAATCAAACTAAGTTTAATTTTGGACCCTTTGGACCTTAATGTAGACCAATTTGAAAACGGAACCAAAAATTAAGAATCTAAATACACGGTTAGATTCAGCATATCAAAGAACCCCAATAATACAATTTTTGATGAAATCAAACAAAGTTAAATTTTGGACCCTTTGGACCTCAATGTGGACCAATTTAAAAACGGGGCCCAAAATCCAAAAACTTAATACACGGTTAGATTCAGCATATTAAAGAACCCCAAGAATTCAAGAATAAAACCCCATTGAAATTGATCAAGAAATAAGCAATTTATACGAAGTATCTTCTTTTGCACAATACTGTGCAATTGAATATTTCTTGCTATTGCGCAATACTGTACAATTGACAATTTCTTGCTATTGCGCAATATTGTGCTATTGGATATTTCTTGCTATTGCGCAATACTGTGCAATTGAAGATTTCTTGCTATTGCGCAATACTGTGCAATTGAAGATTTCTTGCTATTGTGCAATACTGTGCAATTGAAAATTTCTTGCTATTGCACAATACTTATTAGATAATAATTTACACATCCTGTTTGGTGTGTATCTCCTACCATATCATTATTATTTGCTTTTAAATATTAATCAGAAATAACCAACTTAAAATGGAAAATTTTAAAAGAAAAAAAAAAGGAAAAAAAGAAAAAAAAAGAAAAAAAAAAAATCCCCCCCCAAATTTTTTGAACCCCCTTATGATTCATCACCCCCAAACTCAATCCCAGCCTTCCCTTTGTGGTATGGTACCTTGCAGTACAATTTCAGAGAGATCCATACACTTGAACACAAATTATTGTCTGGAAACTAGAAAAATGCTTATTTTTGGCCCCTTTTTGGCCCCCAATTCCTAAACGTTTCGGGCAATTACCCCCAAACTCAATTCCAGCTTTCCCTTTGTGATATGGAACCTTGTAGTACAATTTCAGAAATATCCAAACACTTACACACAAGTTATTGTCATGAAACTAGAAAAATGCTTGTTTTTTGCCCCTTTTTTGGCCACTAATTCCTAAAATTTTGAGGCAATTACCCCCAAAATCAATTACAGCCTTTCCTTTGTGATATGGAACCTTGTGGTACAATGTCAGAGAGATCCATACACTTACACACAAGTTATTGTCTGGAAGTTACAAAAATGCTTATTTTTGGCCCCTTTTTGGCCCCTAATTCCTTAACTGTGAGTACCATAACCCCCAAAATCAATCCCAACCTTCCTTTCGTGGTATTGAACCTTATGGTAAAATTTCATGGAGATCCATTCACTTAAACTAAAGTTAGAGTGCGAAAACCAATGTGTCTTCGGACGACGCCGGACGACGCCAGACGACGACGACGACGACGACGACGACGACGACGACGCCGGACGACGACGACGCCAACGTCATACCAATATACGACCAAAAAATTTTTAATTTTTGCGGTCGTATAAAAACAAAATGATGCGATATGATTGCCATAGCAACAACTCTCAACCAAATACCAAAAGACGTAGAAGTTAACATCTATCGGTCACGGTACGGTCTTTAGTCAATTTAACTTAATTTATTCAAGAGAGAAAATTCTAATAAATAAAAAGGATGTGTTAAATATAAATATATTCAATTCTTTTTTAGTGTATTCTTAAAAAGAAAAGAAAAGAAATTGAATTTACCAGCAAATTGCTGATGAAACAGTTATGGTCCTAACCCATAGTTATCCCCTTCAGTTATATGCATGATAACTTAATAGTACTTTGGGCTAGGTACCCGTACAAAGATATCATTCAGGGCTGATTTCCCATACAAAGCCATGGTATCCTTCAGTGCTGGTTTCCAATACAACGATATCACACAGGGCTGGTTTCCCATACAAAGATATCATTCAGGGCTGGTTTAACATACAAAGATATCCTTCAGGGCTGGTTTTTCATACAAAGATATACTTCAGGGCTGTTTTCCCATAAAAGATATCAACAATTCTTTTTTTTTAAATTGTGTCTTATAAGCATAAATTTTATAACTCGAATAAATAACCTTTTTAGTCTTCTTGTTACTTGCTTCCCTCTCCTACCAAATTCTCCATACTTTGCGTGTTCAGACCAATGATCATGGCTGAAGGCAGCAAATATGGTATTAAGAAATGATGATTTTCCACATCCGGGAGGTCCAATGACAGCAATCACCAGTGGATCTTTCCCTTGCCCGAATTTTCCGACTTTTCCTTTGCAATTCCACAGCAATTCTTGTTTACGATCAAAATGCTTGTCTTTTCTTGGATCTCTGGCAACATATATCGGATTATCATCTGAATCGCTATCAGAGAAGCTAGGATTCCAGGAATCGCCCATCTAAAGAAAAAGAAGAAACAATTGATGTTGGTTATAAATGTAAACAAAAAACACATTCATACCAAGTGCAGAATGTTATACTTTCTTCAATGCATTATATGTACAAATACAAAACTGAAGATCATCATATGATTGCGTAGGATATCAATGAGTTCGCAATGAAAGCGTAAAAAGCTGTGAGACTAATGATTATCTATTATGTGCATTTTAATGATTTGCATTTCATCGATCAATATATTGCCATTGATTCTTACTATAGATTTATCCACAGGCGCCTGAGGAATGAACACCCCTTTTCTAAAAGTAAGAGAATGGTGTATTATTATTTTTCCTGACACAAAATCATTACCCGTGCATGAAAAAAGCAAAAGCATTTAGATTGCTGTTCATCATCTAAAAGTCGCAATGAAACCTTCAACCTGGAGCAAGCGATAACAACTTACCACAAGTTCACGGCACCCCTTGAACCAGTTTGAATAGATTTCTTTGCATAGTCAAACTCATGAGGTAATATTTACAAATATTAAACATTATTGTGAAAAAATATCTTACAAACTGTGTCATAAAATGTCCAATAACTTATTCACAATAGTCAACAAAGAAACAATACATGCATAAGATAAATCACCATGGGCTGGCTATATGATCTTTTTACTCTAGAGCCCCGAGCGCTTCGGTTATCTAGTATGATTTTATTTTCGATGATAGTCAAGTTATATTTTGCAAATGGCTCTTATAACACCTTAAAAACATCTTTATTACAAATTTTGTATGCAAAACCCAAAATCAAGCAAATCAGTGATTTTTGAAATCACTTGTACAAGTAATTAACTCCGCTGACTCGAGAAGATGTGTTACGTATTACTAAACAGCAGGGCTCAAGATACATGTATGCAAGTTAGAAAATGGAATATACAGGATTTTTTATTAAGTATTTACTATTTTGAAACATGGTTATTATGTGCAAAAGGGAAGGTTTGTATATGCATGTAAGACTGGTTTATTCCAACCATATCGTTTAGTGATTGTACTAATTACCCTTCCAGAGCACCTGAGATCGCCCCAAATATTAGGTGGGGTTTGTGTTGCCCAATCTTTAGTTTTCTATGTTGTTTTTTTGTGTACTGTTGTTTGTCTGTTTGTCTTTGTCTTTTTAGCCATGGCGTTGTCAGTTTATTTTCGACTTGTGAGTTTGAATGTCCATTCGCTATCTTTCGCCTTTCTTTTTCAGTTAATCTGGACCATGTGTTGTTCCTTGAACATTGTTTATCTGTGCATACGTCTATTCTTTCGAAGTCTGTTGTTGGTTGCTGATGTGGTATGTTTTCAATTGATGTATCGTTTAATATTTTTGGTAATTCCTAATATCTTCATATGCCTTAGACCAATAGAGAAAGCATGTTGACATTCCGTCGTTTTTGTCAGAAAAATTGTGTGTTTTTATAAGTTGGGAGGCATATTGTTTTACCCTTTCCGTCTGCCTGTCAGTCCGTCCCGTTATGGGTATATAGTTATTACAGATAACTCCTCCTATAGTTTGAATGCTAAAAGTGTTCACTTTGCTGGCTATTTGTACATATATTGAAGGTGCATATGCATGTGGTCCGGGTTTTGATTTTTATTAATATTTGCTCTTTTGGGAGATAGTTGAACTTTGTCATTTTTGGAGTATAAACTTGCATAAGAGGTGCATAGCGTTTCCGGATAACTCCTCCCACAGTGAACCATAGATCTATGTGCTCCCATGCTCACCTTTGTGTATTTTAAAATAACACTTTGCATCTGCGGGGGCACAATTTAAATGTTTCTCCCAGACACAATAATATCGCAAAGAAAGTCCTACATTGTCAAATGATTGTCTCTGTTATAATACAGTTACTTCAGAGTGGAGTGCGGGGGCATCACTTGGTCTAGTTTTTAATTATTATCTGCAACAACAGAATCTGTAAGAATTTGATTGAATACCAAATGTTGTAACAAGAAAAATACACATTTATAAACGAAACAACAAAAAATCATATACCTTTCAATTTTCTTATTGTTGCAATGATAATTTTCTCAGTTTGAACGTCTGCTAACTTTACATTATACGGTAGAAAATAATAACGTTTACTTAGAAATTATTTTTCTCGTATCGTTGAACGTTGTTGATGTCAGATGACTACCTAGCTATGTCGAGAATAGAATTTTGTATATGTATATATGGAACGCCATAGCTGTCTTGTGTGTCTTTTTTATTGCTTTTCTATTATACGAAGGTGGTTTTCTATTATACGATGGTGGTTTTCTATTATACGAAGGTGCTTTTCTATTATACGAAGGTGCTTTTCTATTAGACGATGGTGGTTTTCTATTATACGAAGGTGGTTTTCTATTATACGAAGGTGCTTTTCTTTTATACGATGGTGGTTTTCTATTATACGAAAGTGGTTTTCTATTATACGAAGATGCTTTTCTATTATACGATGGTGCTTTTCTATTATACGATGGTGCTTTTATATTATAATAAGGTGCTTTTTTATTATGTGATGGTGGTTCCCGTGATTAACCGGAAGCGTGGCGTGTATTTGAATGTCACCGAACCAACATGGCGGCCATGGCTGTGAATACTAAAATGTTAAACGTTTTACAGAAATTAAACTTGCAGCAAGCATTTCTAAACTTTGAGAGAGAGAAAATCACTCCAGACATTGTATGTAGGCTTTCGACACATGAAATTGAAATATTAGGTGTATCTAGTAGGGCAGATATGATTAAGTTAAGAACTGAATGTGTAAAATATGGAACGTCTGCCCCTAATAAAATAAACTCTGAATTCGGCCCTCCGAAATTTGATATTCCAAAGTCTGTTCTTGAAAATGGATTTAAAATATCCGACATTTCTAAATTGTTGTCCGTGTCTGAAAGCACCATTTACCGAAGAATGTCACAGTTTGGATTAAGCAAAATGAATTTTACACAAATTGATGACAGTGATTTAGACTTGACACTTGGACAAATAATGAAAGAGTTTCCATTGTGTGGCGAAACACTATTGCAACAGATGCTTCTATTAAAAGGCATAAGAGTACAGAGATGGAGACTAGGGAGTGTATGCATCGATTAGATACCGCCGGTGTACAGGCGAGACGTACTGGTAGGCCTAATAGGCGTGTTTACAATGTAATTGGTCCAAATCACCTCTGGCACATAGATACAAATCATAAACTTGTCCGGTGGAGATTTGTTATTGTAGGTAGCATTGACGGGTTTAGTCGATTGATAACATTTTTAAAATGTACCGACAACAACACATCAAGAACAGTTTTGGATTGTTTCTTCTCCGGTGATGCAAAGTATGGGATACCCAATAAAGTTAGGTCTGACAAAGGATTGGAAAATGTTTCTGTGGCAAACTACATGTTGATTCAAAAAGGCCCAACAGTATGGTAACGGGGAAAAAGCACTCATAATCAACGGATTGAGAGACTATGGAGAGATGTGTATGAAGGTGTGCTTAGTTACTTTTACAACTTATTTTATTTCATGGAAGATGAAGGTTATCTAGACCCACTAAAACTGACAAACTTAGCTGCTCTCCACTTTGTTTTCATGGACGAACTAAACAGGAAGCTTCAATTTTTGGCAGAGGCATGGGCTGGTCATAGACTACGCACTGTTAATTCATCTCCATTGAACTTGTGGACTTCAGGTCAACTTCAAAATGCCGTAGGAATTACCGAAGGAGAAGCAAGTTTGCAAGATTATGGAATTGAAGGCTATGTGGATCAAAATGATGTAGAAGAGGGCGAGAGACTAATATTTGGACCCCTTGCACACATGATAAGTGATCAATGCAGGCTGGATTCAACTCGACAATTGATAAGAAGCAATACTAACTTTGGAATAGATTATTATCTTGAATGTTTGGAAGTCATTGAAAGAAATAACTAAACTGGTTATTAAAACTTATTTGTAATTTACTAAATTTCCTTCATATCTTGAACGTAAATGAATAACTGCATAACTATTTTATATACTTAATCTTATAAAACCCCATGACTTTTCATCAACTTCAAGCTTTACAGTGGTATATTGGATATATGTAACTGTATTATTTTGTGTAGAGGTAGTACATGTACAATGTACAGATCTGTATATCCTCTTACTATTTTAGTATTTATTATAACCAATTTTTCTAACTTATATGGACGCTGAGTTGGCAATTGTATTGTGCAAGTCTTTTTGCTGCGCGTCTTTCGAATCTTGATAGGAAGTCGAGTAGATTGAGGGGCAAGGTTAGTGTACCCATAAACATGGTTCAACCCCACCACTCTGCCAAGTTTTGCCAGAGTGCCTGTACCAAGTCGGGACTTCTCTCTACCTTCTGTACATTTTCCTTTTTGTGTTGTCGCTGTATGTCTCTATTTTTGATGTTTTATATCGAATTATTGCCATTCCTTGTTTTATCTTTATTTTTTATATATAAAGGTTGGCTACATGGTTCAGCTAAATGAAATTCTTCGGTAATGCTTTAAATGAAAACTTATGTAACTGTGACTTTTACATGCATTTAAAGAATTTGGCCGATAATGAACAAATATTTAAATGTTTGTGTTTGAACTGAAAATCATTAATTGTGTCCTGAATATTAAGTCATTGATCTTACAATTTGCCAAATTAAAAAGTACTTGAACCAGAGACATATAATACTAGAGATAAGCAACTTTGTGAAATCTCGAGAAATATCGCAGCCACATGCTTTGATAAGAATATAACATGTATAAGAGTCATATATAGAGAAAGAAAGTAGTTAAGTTTTCAGAAATATTCCTTAATTTTTCAAAAACTTAACAAGATATCTAAATATACCGATCACAGAAGTTGTAAAAGAAGTATAAAAAATCAACACATGCCCTCAATACTTTGTTATTTAGTAAGTTTCAAAATATTGTCATGATAATATGAAAACTTCATTTTGTCATAAAATGTTCCAGACCGAAATCTCTTCAATTTTCTATTGTATAATATTCAGAGTTTCCAATCTCTTGTTTTATATATCTCCACTTCAACTAACTATAATCGGTTCGGTTTAGACAGGTTTTACTGTGTCACAAGTATTGCGGGAGTACACAAGTCCATTGATTTTAAAAAAATGTGTCGGCAAGCTTTAGCGAACAGGTACTTTTCGAAACTGTCCGAGGTACTAGTATGTAGCTGAATGTACTTATTTTTACTATTAGACTTGGGTTAAAACCATTTTTGATGTAATGAAATCAATGCTAATATTTGCGAAAATGCTTTCCAGTGATTAAATTTGGCTATATAGGAGTATCACCTATCTTGAACTTGAGCTAAATTTCATTTCAAGGCATCTTCTACCGTTCACCCACTAAGAACAGTCTCCAACTTGTGTGGTGATGCTCATCTATAACGCAGAGGTGTTTATCTAATTTAAAAGTTTTTTTTAGTAGTATCACTGTTGAGGGCCAAATGCGAGAAATTTTCTAAGAGGGTCTGGAGGGAATGTCCCCCCCCCCCACCAGATACCTTTTTAAAACTTAGAGTCATGGTATGAAGATATCAAACACAGAAAATTCAAATTAAATAGATTTTTTTCTACTGAAATTCCTCCAGTCAGGTTTACTAAAATAAATAAACTGTTATCATAGAGATATGTCTCCCTTTTTGGTAATTTTTATAATGCATATGTTGAAATTAAAATAGCAACACTTTAGCATGCAAGTTTTGCAAATATTCAAAGTCAATGAACCATGGCTGAAGGTACATGGCTAAACAATCTCCATGGAAATGAGATGTGCCAATGCTAATACCAAATACCATTGACTTATCATAATTCCCTTTAAACAAAATTAAACACAAACTAATACATGTAAACTAAGCAAAATTTCAAAGTCAATAAACCATAACTGAGGGAGCAAGGTCAAATAATCTTTGTGGTAATGAGGTGAACAAATGTTATGACAACTGCATACCAAATATCATTGACCTACCACTAGTGGTTCCCGATAAACCAACCTAATCACAAAAGTTTAAGTCAATAGACCATGACTGAGGGGCGGGGCCAAATAATCTCCATGGAAATGACATATGTCAATGCTTATACAACTGCATACCAATTGTCATTAACTTACCACTAGTGGTTCCCCATAAACTGACCTAATCACAAACAAATACATTGAAATTAAGCAAAAAATTCAAAGTCAATAGACCATGAATGAGGGGCGGGGCCAAATAATCTCCATGGAAATGACATATGCCAATGCGTATACAACTGCATACCTATTATCATTAACTTACCATTAGTGGTTCCCCATAAACTGACCTAATCACAAACTAATACATGAGAAGAGTGCACACACTGAAATGTCTCGCCTTCTTTACTAAACATTGATAATATGTGATAGTCCTAAATAGAAAGCCTAACTATCACATAAACATGAGTATAAAAATCAGGTTAAGGTAATATAAACCAAACAAGAAATACATGTACACCTTACAATTATTCCATACACTAAATATAATTGACCTATTGCTTATAGTATAAGAAAAAATAACCAAAACACAAAAGCTTAACTATAACCACTGAACCATGAAAATGAGGTCAAGGTCAGATGACACCTGCCAGATGGACATGTAAACCTTACAATCATTCCATACGCCAAAAATACTGGACCTACTGCTTAAAGTATCTGTGATAAAGACTTCACCACCAAAACTTAACCTTGTTCACTGATCCATGAAATGAGGTTGAGGTCAAGAGAAAACTGTCTGACTGGCATGAGGACCTTACAAGGTACGCACATACCAAATAAAGTTATCCTATTACTCATAATAAGAGAGAAATTAACATTACAAAAAATCATAACTTTTTTTTCAAGCAGTCACTGAACCATGAAAATTGGGTTAAGAACATAGGCCATGTGACAGACGGAAACTTAGTATCATTGAGCATCTATATACAAAGTATGAACAATCCAGGTCTTCCACCTAAAATATAAAGCTTTTAATAAGTTAGCTAACGCCGCCCGATCACTATCCATATGTCGAGCTTTCTGTGACAAAAGTCGCAGGCTCCATAAAAACTAAACAAAAAATTCAGTCAATAGACAATGACTGAGGGGACGGGCTAAATAATCTCCATGGAAATAAGATATGCCAATGCTTATACAACTCCTTACCAAGTATCATTAACTTACCACTATTGGTTCCCCAATAATTGACCTAATCACAAACTGATACATGATTCTTAGGAATAATTTCAGAGTCAATAGACCATAACTGAGGGGGCATGGCCAATAATCTCCATGGTAATGAGATATGTCAATACTAATACAACTGCATACCAAATATCTTTAACTTGTCACTAGGGCTTCACCATAAACTAGACCTAATCACAAACTAATGCATTGTTGACGCCGCCGGAAACAGCATACCTATGTCTCGCTTTTTGACTCCATTAAGCGATACAAAATCTACTTAAAAAATGTTGAACTAACTATTTCATTTTAAAGACTTAATTGATTTTCTTGATTTTTTTTTTTTTCATATTTCATTAGCAATTGGTCCGTCCCTTTTTCAAATAAACTCCACACTTCCGGTTAATCACGGGAACCACCATCACATAATAAAAAAGCACCTTATTATAATAAAAAAGCACCATCGTATAATAGAAAAGCACCTTCGTATAATACAAAAGCACCATCGTATAATAGAAAAGCACCATCGTATTATAGAAAACCACCTTCGTATAATAGAAAAGCACCTTCGTATAATAGAAAACCACCCTCGTATAATATAAAAGCACCTTCGTATAATAGAAAACCACCATCGTATAATAGAAAACCACCATCGTATAATAGAAAAGCATCTTCGTATAATAGAAAAGCAATAAAAAAGACACATAAGACAGCTATGGCGTTCCATATGTATATATATATTAGGTCATTATAAAATTATGAAGATGTGGTATGATTGCCAATGAGACAACTATGATCAACCAAAGTACAAATGCACATAATGAAGTGGATGTTGTTTATTATGATGACACTGTGCTTTTCGGATAAAGACTGTATGGTTTTATTAATAACAGTACTGTCTATGATGTGTATTCATTATAAATGAAAAGAAACGGTAACTTACTTTCAATCTACGTGTACATTCTTACTGCTATAATGTTTATGAACAAATACACTTCCGGGTCAAAGCCATGTCAGATATTTATATCTTTGATAAGAGTTTAGTTATAATGTACATGAATGCATTCGAAAAGACAATAAAATGTAGGCGTTCCTAACAGTACACTGTGAAATCGATATTTAGTTTTATTTGATTAACCAGCATCTGTGTATACTTATGACAAACGTGTACGAGACAAGATAAGATAAGATATTTTTTTTATTAGTATAAAATCCAAACAATTGGATTGCTACTTTAAATACAAATACAAATAATTAAACAATAAACAATACAAATATGTAACATTTACTAATAGACGTTGCTAGACGACGTATGCCTCCCCTTTAAATTAGCATAAAGATGATTATATTTAGAAGAAATGCTGATTAACTCTATTTTGTTCGTTCATATATTAGCTAGGTTATATTAAAGAAAAAAGGTAAAACTGTAAAATCAACAGTTCATACACAATTGCTAATATTATTTCTGTAATTTTACACCTTACTTATGCCATTAATTCATTATCAAAATGTCATATTCTTCAAAAGAGAAAATAGAATATTGTTTTCCCAATTATAATTATTCATCGAAAAATGTACGTGATTTAGTCAAGAACATCATTCAGTTTATCATGGGCTCACTTCGTTGATCTACTTTTGTACTGAGTAACATAGAAGAGTCCGTTGGTCTGGATTTATCCCATAGAAACGGTTCAAGATCAATTGCAAATTTTACATATGTGTAAACAAATTATCCAGCTTACCAACGACTTGAATATGGTTATAAATTGTATAAAAACTAACATAACTCTGTTTAACAAATGAAGAAGGTATTGAAAATATAAAAATTACTTACAAGTGTAACAGCCTTATAGAATGTGTTTAAATATACATTTATTTAGGGGTAACATTTAGTGCATCAGGTATACATATCCATATGCCTAAGAGGATTTGAGTAAAAGTGGCATGAAAGCATAAATTTAAGCTGAAGACAGCGCTACAAGAAAAACCAAATATTAATACTATTTTACATTTAAGAATTGAATGCTTCCTTTTGTAAATTCATTGGGGTGTAAAAGCGTTGACCGAAGTACATTTTGTATGAAGTGCGGAAGCGCTTCATTCTAAAAATGAACGCACGGTCAACGCTTTTACAACCCTATGAAATTTCTAAAAGAAGCATTCAATACTTATAATTACATTTTTTCGCTATGATCATGAAAACACGATTACTATCATTTTTTTCCTTTTACTTACCTGTGCACTTTATTGTGGAAACGTGTGTCATCATGTATGTTACAATTCATGAAATTCATTTTGAAATGAAGAATGACGCGAGATTGCTGTTAGCCAATCAAAATAAGGTATAATAATGAAACATACATCTAATGTAATTATTATTTAATAACACAGTGAGGCCAATACTTGTATAAATGTATCAGAAATTTAAGGGTTTACATCCTCCAAAATAAAATTGAAATTGGAAACAGGGAATGTGTCAAAGAGACAACAACCCGACCAAAGAGCAGAAAACAGCCGCGAAGGCTGTTTAACTGACCCTGAAAACTTTATAATAAAGTTCATGTCTGTCATATTTGTTATTGGTAAATTGAATTGTTGTAAGTTAGATCGTTAGTTGTCTCGTTTGAATTGTTTTTCATGTCGGTGCCTTTCATAGTTTATATAAGTTATGGGTTTTTCTCATTGTTGAAGTCCGCACGGTGACCTAGTATAACTGCTTAAATCCATGTCATTTTTACTCTTGTGAATAGTTGTCTCATTGGCAATCATACCAATCTCCTTATATTTATAAAGACATTACTTTTCTTAATTCTAATCATTAAAACCATCAACTTTTTTTCTCGAGAATTTGCACTTTCGTTAAAAAGGGTCCGTTGATGAGTAATCTTCTACAAAACTCGGTTCGCTGATTGGTCCGTTGAGATTAACTGTTACGAAGTTTACATTCGAAAGACTTTTTAATTGATAGCGATTTTAAGAATATATTGCCTAGACAAATTTGTCTAGAAGAGTTTGAATAAGCTCGGACAACATATTGCACATATGCAATCGACAGTATGAAAACACCTTTGTATACAGACTTTGGTATAGTGCTAGGTATACAATATCTGATGCAGTCAGCACCTCCTGTTAAAAAACATATTCAATGAAATTGCACAGTGTCAAGGTTCGAAAACGAATTCTACAAGTCAAAGCATGAACGTCTCAGCTGAAAGAAATTTAGAAATAAAAGTGCATAATAAATAAGTTGCGCGTCCGCGTACAATATTATTAGACCATCAATCGTGGAATTCATACCTAAAATGTGTGGCTTTATATTTTATACAATCAAAATGAACGTCACAACAATGTATTAGAATTGGTGATATATTAACGATACAATAAAAGGAAGGGAGAATATGTTTATCTTCATTATTTAAACGGATAGTCTTAATGATTTTTGTTAAACTATTGAGGCGCTTCACCTGGTGCAAAACAGTATTAGTATACCCTCGCTTGTATTTCTACTGACATTGAGGTTGTCAAACAGTCAGGCAAAGTTGACAGTGTTAGAATGTTTTTATGAAAAAAAAATGTTCTTGTTGAAAAATTACTTAGATTTTTTTTCAGCTAAAACAAATTGTTTGTTTCGATAACCCGAAACACACACACGCATATGAATTGAATGGCCAGTGCCTTATATATACTTATATATACTTAGTATCTTACTTCAAGATAAAATCGATCATTTCTTATCTGTAACTGCTAAACAACTTGGCAAAAATGCATTCCATTACATCATTATGATAATGAAAGTATTTACTTTTGACTTGCATTTACTAACACAGCTTGTTTACACAGGGACTCGGTTTGCAGGCATATATATATACTAGTATATATTTTAAAATAATTGTTGTTGTTCGCATGCACTGTCTATTTGCATGATTTGTATTAAATTATTAACGTTGGCAAGTTAATATTTGTATGTTTACAAGCAATGTGCAGTGTACTGACCATATCCGATTACTGAAAAAATCATTTTGAATTTCTTACCGTTCTTTAAATAAAAGAAAATATTAAAAATATTACACTGTGACCATATACCTTACAAAGACACTCATTATCTTCTTCAATGATTCTTCTATCGCAATCATCTATAGGTGTTTCGATCTATGACATACTTACTCGGCTATCGTTTCCTTCAGGTAAAAAAAAAACAATTTCGCGCCGAAAGCAATGTCCCATTCAAAAACTTTCAGTTGAATACACTGAACACAATGGTAATTCCCCTATATATCGAACTCACATTTCTTCACATCTGTTAATAGCCGCGGACTTAAAATCCAACAAAACCCAACGACGGTTGGAAATTAAACTTTTTGTAGATTTAAGAACAAAACTCATTGGTTTCTTGATAAATAAATCCCGAAAAGTCGAAAGTAGCAAAAAATATTGCTGTTTCGAACAATGTTGCAAAACTGAAACAATCTTAATGACTACGCCTAAAGGCGGTAATAAACAAATGTTCTATAATTTTGTTTCTAAGAGCATTTCTTCGATGTTAGTGATTTACATTCGGAACACTTGTTGAAGAATTATGGTTGCCGTGTAGTAAGACATGTTTGGATTGTCTCACTGACGAAACCGCACATCTCCTCTCATATACACAATTGAAGTTGTCATCTCTTTGAATACTAGTATTATTTATCAACTGAACCATCTGTCAATATATGTTTGTAGGACAATAGTACTCTTAAGTCGTCGATTCAAGGTTTTCATTTCTTTAAATACTTAAGTGATTAAGTACAATGTACCAGATAATTAAAGCCGATTTTAATTATCAATTGCATTCTTATATATAACTATATCACACCACAATGTAATCATAATTTGAGTACATGTATCAGGACTTTTTTGTGTCTCGTAAGCTTAGAACGGACTCTGTAATCTTTGCCGAAGTTTAACTTTGGGTGGGACTGGCTTGGCTGTTAAAAGCAGAAACAAAGTTTTAGTAATACATTTATTTAGTCTGTTTCCCCAAGTCATATAATACAATTAACAACAAATAATAATATATACTAACATACGAAATATAACAAAGAATAAACTTTAATGAATATCCTTTCATTAATACCAAATGAATACACGGTTGACCTTACGAGGTTATTAACCTATATTATGTAAATATATTATCCATTCAAACTTGATAAAAGTAAGACAGTATCTATACTTTTTTAATCTTGAATTTATTTGTTATCTCATTGATGCGACTTTAGTACCTATAGATTTAACCTTAATTACTTTACCATTTAAATTATCATTCTATTGTTGAAGTTACTATTAGAATCTTGTTATTTCCTGATATATAAGATCCTAACATACTGTAAGAGTTATTTATCATGATAAAGTAACAGAGTTTAACCTTTTAAAATAAAATAAAATAATTTTACTAACCTGTTAAAAGCAGAAACAAAGTTTTTGTTATACATGTACTTTTATTTAGTCTGTTTCCCCAAGTGCGGGAGAAAGACTATTTAGGCCTTATAAACTGGTTTCGTTAGAAATTAAATGAGGTTCAGTTTAGTTTACTAGATAGAATTTAGTATGGCCTGTTATTCGGTGCTTTTGTCACACATTATTTTTGTACTTAATTTTACGTTTTACGTCCGAACGTAAATTTTAATACGAATCACAATGAGCGTCAAATTCGCTTTACTGTCCAAACACCGTTAACTTTCAATTCGCATTATCATAATATAAGCATAATTTAAACAGAACAACCATTTTAGAGCCAATAACATCTCCAAACTTGCTCTCTTGATCTGATATGACGTTTATCGGAATCATTTTCCTTCTCATTTCAATAACAGGGCAAGGGTTTTCCTATTTTTCCAACAAGTACATTTTTTCCTGCTATTTTGCACAAACCATTGTTAAACGAGAAAAAAAAAATGTTTTTCGTAAACGTGTCGGTTTTTCTTTTTGTGAGTCTCAGATAACTAGACCTAAGTAGTATCATCCGCCCAACACCTGATATGACAGAATGTCTTCATTAACGACACAGTGTTACCCATTTATAAATTATTGTCGGACATGTCGGACTTGTCAGCATATATATGACCACAATGACGTTATTATGGTTTTCGCCTATGATATTTTCGCTTACACGAATTATTAGTGTTACGTCTTTAATTTTAAAGAACCACGAAATAATTACAATATTCTTTTAATTTTTCTGTCCAAGCACTTGTTAGGGTAATTCGAATTACAATTCAGAAAGTGTCCACACCAGAGTTTAATTCGAATTGAAGCGAATTAACTCATGCTGCGTTCACACATAATTCGAATTCGATTCGCATTAACCAATTCGAATTAATTTAATTCCCATTCGAAACGTTTTACGTCCAAACGTAAATTCTAATTCGAATTGCAATGCGTGTCAAATTTGCTTTACTGTCCGAACGACGTTAACTTTTAATTCGTATTAACAAAACCGCATTTGTAATGCGAATTGGATAATGCGATTTAGCCAATTCGAATCAATTCGAATTAAAAAAGAAGAGTGTGTGAACGCGATTAGCGAATTCGATTCGCATTCGATTCGAATTCAATTCGAATTAATGATGCGTTCACACGTAATTCGAATTCGATTCGCATTAACTAATTTGAATTAGTTTAATTCGCATTCGAATCTTTTTACGTCCAAACGTTAATTCTAATTCGAATTGCAACACGCGTCAAATTTGCTTTATTGTCCGAACGACGTTAACTTTTAATTCGTATCAACAAAAACGGATTTCTAATGCGAATTGGTTAATGCGAATTAGCCAATTCGAATCAATTCGAATTAAAAAGGTAGAGTGTGTGAACGCGATTAGCGAATTCGATTCGCATTCGATTCGAATTCAATTCGAATTCAATGTACGTGTGAACTAGGCATAAATGTACGTGTGAACGAGGCATCATTCACATTAACGAAAACGCATTTCTAATGCGAATTGGATAATGCGATTCGAATTGAAAAAAGATGAGTGTGTGAACGCGATTAGCGAATTCGATTCGCATCCGATTCGAATTAAATGTACGTGTGAACGAGGCATAATTATGTTGATTCCTATTACAGTTTATAAACGTGTATATTTCGTATGCACCAGGCATATTTAATTCATTCAATAGTAATGACGTCGAAATTCACAATGAATTGAAATGTCCGAAATATTTGTTTACACCTGAAACATGTTAGATTATAAATTTATATTTGTCAATACTTATGGTCAAGATTGAACTTAAATCTTACGGTTATTCAAATTTTTCAAAAATACATATGCACACTATCCGGTTGTAGCAACATTTTGTTCTATATTTGATCATTTCTTGTTTGTAAACATGGTTTTACATTTTGTCATGTCGGTGCTTTTTATGGCTGACTATATTCCATAAGGTTTGGGTTCTGCGCTTTGTTGAAGGCCATATTGTGACCTATCGTTGCTTACATCCACGTCAATCGGACCCTGCATGGTGGGTAGTTGTCTTATTGGCAGCCATGCCACATCTCCTTAGTGGAGATTTGGTATCATTTATAATGTTAAAATATAAGCGGTAAATGTAAAGGAAGAGGATATAATGAACTCTAAATGCTTGATAATGGATAAACACTTAGGCATTTTTACATTTTTGTTTTGCAAATTTTATCATGCCTAAGTGTTTAGACAAAAAATAAATAATACTTTTTTTAACCAAAATCTATATTTCATCAGGAGTTGAGAGCTTCAATATAAAATTAGGAGATGTGGTATGATTACCAAGGAGGCAAGTATCGACCAGAGAACAAATGACGTAGACGTTAGCAACTAAAGGTTGTCGTACGGTCTTAAAAAATAAGCAGAACTCATACCGCATAGCAGGATAAAACAAGAATGTGTCCCTAGTACACGGATGCCCACTTGCACTATCATTTTCTATGTTAAGTGGACCGTGAAATGTGGGTCAAAACTCTAATTTGGAATTACAATTAGAAAGATCATATCATAGGGAACATGTGTACTAAGTTTCAATTTGATTGAACTTCAACTTCATCAAAAACTACCTTGACTAAAAACTTTAACCTGAAGCTGGACAGACAGACGGACGGACGGACGGACGAACAAACGAACGAACGAACGGATGGACGGATGGACGGACGAACGGACCCACAGACCGAAAAACATAATGCCCATAAATGGGGCATAAAAAAATGCTGCAACATACAATGATCCAAAATGTACTATAAATTCAAATGAAAAAAAAACTGCCTAATGTATGTACAAAGAACAAACGAAAACCAACACACGACAACCACAGAATTACAGGCTCCTGACTTGGAATGGGCTCAAACAGAGTGTGCATGGCAGGGTTAGATATAATTGCTGGTTCCCCCTTATCTTGGAATGTGATGTAAGTGTTACATAAGAACAAACTATCAAATGGGTTCAAATCATCAGATCGATTTAAAGCAAAACAAGCAACTTACAAAAACACTAATGACAAAAAGTACTTATCTTAGCTAGTTCCAAGCCAATAACAACTTATAAAACAATCATGTATCCAAGACACAAATCTACATTTCGTCAGGAGCAAGGCTCAAACAAATATGACATTAACACTAATGAAAAAAGTACTGATCTGAGAGCACTCGCAGTTACTGCAAGCTAGTTCCAAGCCAAGAACAACTTATAAAAAAAATCATGTATCTATAAGACACAAATTTAAATTTCGTCACGGAGATGTGGTATGATTGGCAATGAGACAACTATCCACTAAGAGACCTATAAACGTAGATGCTGGTAACCATGATTCCCCGTACGGCCTTCAACAATGAGAAAAATCCATAACGCATAGCAAGCTATACAAAGCCTTGGCATGAAAGAATGTAAAACAATTTAAAAGGGAAAACAAATGACCATATCCATTTCAAAACAACAAACGAAAGACCAATATAACATAGATTAATAAAAGACAACAAATGAACAACAGGCCTCAAACTTCGGACAGGCACACACAGAATGTAGCGAGGCCAAGTATGTTAGCGGGCACCAAATCCTTCCCCTCCACGACAGCCGTGCAACAGAAGATCATGACGTACTCCCTAAGAGTCTTGTGTGTCCATTAAAAATTTTAAACCGTAGTATACTTCCACATATCTTTTTTATAATAATCTTACTAAATTTAATTGACATTATTTATTTCTAGTTATAAGCGTGTATAAAAGACATTCTTACCAAACACTTTGCTTATTACATATATAGGATTAAGTTTAGTACAGCTTAATAGTGAATATCGAAGAATTGGTATTATCTTGAATATAAATTTCAATCTAATCTTATACTTAGTATGCATGAACTTCGACTTTGTTGGGATACAAAGTATGAAATAAAATTGATAGAATACAAAAATATAACAATGTTACACGTTTTGAAGCTGAGGTTTTAAACCATAAAATGTATGTCCCATAACAATGCACACAATTTGAGTATTCCCGCATTAGATAAATTCACATATTTCATTCATCATCCGATTCCTTTTTGGGCTGTACCACACCTTTGGAGATAATTGCGCCATCTTTCTGGATAAGCAGTGCAGGCCAAACCAAATAGTCTAGTCTTGAACCTTGAACAGTGAACTCTTTGAAAGTAGTTCGATCGAATGTGTCATTTGGTTCAAAGTCTAGAAACATTGGAGGATCCTGAACAGCAGACAGGTAACAAATTTTGACACACAATTCGATGTAAGGTTGACACACGGTTTTATATTTCTGAACTGTTTTGCAGTTTGATTCAATGTCGAAGAGTTTCTGAAATAATGAATAGGATATTAATGTACATTCAATTGAAAAATACTTGGACTAATCGAATGAAAAAAAAATCAAAAATATAAACGTTATAGCCACTATTGACAAGAAGGAGAAGGCATACATTTTTTATACATTTTTTTTCTTTCATACAGCTTGAAAGAGTTTTAACACTTGTGGTGAGAGGTTCTTATACCAACAAATATTTAATACTACATGGATATGAATTGTGGTCATTGATATTGATGCATTCAATGAATCAATTCAGTTTTCTTATTAAAGAAAATAAAATATTTGCTAATTGTGTTCTCGAAATTGTTTTTGTGTTCTACAAAATGTATGAATCTTCAATTAATGACTGTTTTGGTCACTTACCTTGCATAATAGAGGTATATATTTAGTAGCTTGGGATTTGAGTACATCTTTGAACATCTTAAAATATTCTTTGCAATCATCAGCGGGCAAACACTAAATAAAGAGAACAAAAAAAACAATAAACTACAAATAAATATGACACACTTTAACCAAAGATAATTACTGAATTATAAGCTCTTAGAATTGATAGTTGCTATTGTTCTCTTTATAGAAACTCCCTTTTTTCCGGAAACCAATTGTTGACGTTGTCGTGTTGAAGATATTTGCTGTATATGTCACGGTGACAACGACGCAGCGACAAACCAAAAAATCTAGCACCATTATGTGTGCATTTGATTGTTCCTCTAGTAGAGATGTTTAGTGCTAATTAGACCAGTTTATTTTTACTTCATGTGCAGGTGCCTGTCCAAAGTCAACCATTAGAAATCTTTTTTATTGTTGGTACCTGAAAGCTGCCCACAAGACGTCTTTATATTTTTGTGACGCCGGGTTTCTGTCTCATGTTCTAGAAACACGGGTTGTGCTCACGGGAAAATTATCATTTTCTATCATTATACAATGTACAAATGTATTTACTTTCATACGAGACAGTATATTATAGTATTATATTTACCTGGAAAGCTTTCTTCAGTCCAAACAGTTGAAGTGACGAATCTTTGACACACTCTTCATTTATTTCCTATTAAATATCATAACATGTTGAAATTATGGCAAACAAAATTTGTAAAAGTTCGTACGCAATAAAATGGAATGAATGAAATTATCATTACAAATTACAATTATAAAAAAAATATATAAAAACGAGGGCTGATCATTCAATTTACAGAACGTATAACACACCGTTTATTAATAAGCTTAAATTTAGAAATTGTGATAATTTCACACCAACTGACTTCAAGTTTCAAATTGTAATTTCAAAAATCGGCATATGATTGAACATAAAAAATGATCCAAAGCTGTCATATTTCCGAACATCATATAATTGACCGATTTTTTTTGGTTTTATTTGCAATGCATCATTAGAATTTCAAAATTCTGATTGTCACAAAAGAGACTATTATAATACGCCTACAGACAAGTCAGTTTGTCAGTCGGATTGGAATCAGGATTATATATATTCAAATACATTATTCATTACAAGAAACGTTGTTAAAGTTTACTTATGTACGCAAAAGGCTTTCCTATGGTAAAAAGTGAGGATACCTTCACTTACTTTCAAAATATGGAGTAATATTCGAATGCTGTCAATGTCTGTTATTTTTTCTTCACTGCCCTCTTCGGTAAGTTCCTGTAAAGCGGTATAGGCGTCTGTCCATTCATTTTCATACAATTCAGTAAACTGTTCAGCAAGTTTCATTGGACGATTTTGGTCATTTAGATCAGCAATCGCTGGATTGTTATCCCGTAATTTAGATCCCATCATTTCACTCAACCTTTATAAAAACAACCATTGTTGACGTTCGAAATAATAAATTAAAAAAATATATAGCCTGCTTGCAATTTTAAAACTATTTGTCATTATCAAAATTTGAAACTAAGGATTTATTTGTATTTGTGAAATTATTTAATTCGCAAAATGTTTGCAAATGTATTAAATCCCTTTTCTTAGACTAAAATTCCTTGATGTAGACTGAGAAAAAAATATTTTTTAGACTTTGGACAACCTTAATTTACATAAATTCAGTCATTAGTCATTTTCAATAGTAAGGAAATAAAGCTGTTGATCCAATATTTTGAAAGTACTTTTATTAAAAATAAACTATATTTAAAAAAAAAATAACAATACTTTACATTCTTACTATATTAAGCCTTATTGTCTAGATATTATAGTCCTTAAGGAAACAAGATCGCAAGATTCATAATTAAGCTTTCAACTTTACACCAAGGATAATTGAGTACAAAAACTCATACAATCATGATGATTATTCTAACTCCTTTTACGAGTAAAAATAGAAAAAATGCATGCACCTGCCTATGATCATTACATATCACAATTTGTGCGTCAAGAGCCTGCGTCCAATACCAATGTCAAATAAAATGCTCATTTACAGTTACATTGTACATGTATATTTAGCCCAAAACTGATACCTGGTCATCACTTCCCAAATATTATCGACAGCTTCAAGATTGAACAGAGTAACCCATGAGATATATTTCTGGAACACGTTCACAATGTGTTTGAAAACAAAAATGGAAGACACCTTTAGGGCAATTAACAACCTTAAGTCGTAAAAAGGCAGATAGCATAATGACCAAACGAACATAGACGAACGAAAATAAGTCCACAATACACAAGACACTATACATACTAAAACAGGAATGTGTCCATAGTACACGGATGCCCCACTCGCACTATAAATTTCTATGTTCAGTGGACAGTGAAATTGGGGTAAAAACTCTAATTTGGCATTAAAATTAGGAAGATCATATCAAAGGGAACAGGTGTACTAAGTTTCAAGTTGATTTGACCTCAACTTCATCAAAAACTACCTTGACCAAAAACTTTAACCTGAAGCGACCAAAAACTTTCACCTGAAATTTTCTATGTTCAGTGGACCGTGAAATTGGAGTTAAAACTCTAATTTGGCATTAAAATTAGAAAGATCATATCAAAGGGAACATGTGTACTAAGTTTCAAGTTGATTGGACTTCAACTTCATCAAAATCTACCTTGACCAAAAACTTTAACCTGAAGCGGGACAGTCGGACGAACGGATGGACGGAAGAACGGACGAACGGACGTACAGACCGAAAAAACATAATGCCCCTATATAGGTGGGGCATAAAAATGTGCAACACGACGTCATGAGTGAATTCACGTGCTCTGAAAATGTAAGCAGTTCACGCTCCACTAGTGTCCTCCATAGGTTTGCTTATTTAACAAAAACAAAAACAAAACGTGTTATCAATTCAAGCCAGTTCATTCTCTGTATACGTATTTTAGATGATTCTACCACAAACTATTCTGGTAATATGAAATTTAAAATAAAATATAAAATGACAGTGACCAAACAAAACAAAACAAACTTTCGTACCTTGATAATGCAACATCCTTTTCTTGTTTAAGGTCTTTAATTTCGTTGTCCTTGTCTTGTAAGCTAAAACATTTTAATCGGGAAAAAATCGTTAATCTTTAAAAGCAATTGAATTTGTTTCATTTCTCTATTTTGTAGTTGTTAATATTATTAATATTATCATTTTCTTTTGACTTTTTTTTATAATTTTTCATGACCGCTGCTCCACCAGTGTCATCCGTCGTTTTGCTTAATATTTTCAATTAAACCCGTGCAATCAATATGCAAGTGCATGTTTAAGATATATCAGTTTGTTCACTACTCTCTAGTCTTTTAGTCTTGGGACAGATGACCCATGCCTTTTATATCCCATTGAAAAACGTTATAATGATTTCTTAAAATACCATATTTCATTTGAAGTTTTGGATACATACATGTACAAGTAGAGCTAAACATTACATCTGACAAAATTACAATCTATATAAAATGCAATAATAAAAACGAAATAAATTTAGAAGTATAACACCAACCTTTGATCAGTTCAAATGAATTGGTATCAATTAAACAACAGTCTTTGATTAGCTCTAGTGCATGACTTCTCCAAAATAATCTAGGTCGAGGATGCATGTGCTGTACCATAATTAATTCAATACTACCCTCCCCCCCGAGAAAAAAACAAACAAAACAAAAATCACCATGTATGTTATCAAGATTTACTTACCGCCACGTAAGATTTTCGACCTCTCCATTCAATTTATCAATTTCCTGTCTGCATTCTGCTTGACTGAAAAATAGAAATCACATATCTGTATCACAGCACCATTATTTTCTCAATATGTGTACATACATTTAAACCTGGTGTTAATGAATATAACATATGCATTTGAAAAGTTTACGCTTCGTAAGTTTGAAAATTTATCAAGGTTACTATCGAAATTGCAGTGTAAGGCGATGGATTTCAATATTAAGTTATTTCCCGTCGCCGCAATGTTGAAGGACAAAACTGGTTGATTTTAGTATTTGACTAAGTAGATTACAAAATGCGAAAAGAAAGTCTGATTACAGATACTTACTACACGTAGATCGTTGTGATGAATTACAAAAAAAAAATGTATGCCAGGCTTTAACCAACGAAAACTGTTTAGAAACATTTTTTTAGTTTATAGCGAAGTCTATAGAAAGGACCAACCAGCAAATTTAATATCACGGTACCGGATCGTATAGAATAAACGATACTGCGCAGATAAGGAAAACATTATATAAGCCTAAAGATTTGCACAACGGTACTTGTATAAGATGGTACTATACGAAGATGATATAATAAAATCGTGTCACTCCAATGAATGTTCTGTTCAGCCACTAGGATTTTCATGCGGTTAAAGTCATCAAGTTTGTGACCCGACTGTCTGAAATGCTGAAGGAGTGGCGTCTTATAGATATCACTCCTACTAGTGTCGGTTCACAAACTTGATGACTTATACCGCTTGGAAATCCTAGTGATTGAACAGAATATCACTGGAGTGATGCCCAGCGACAGGTTCGGGAAAGCTTTTGGATAAAGGAACTAAATGTACATCATTTAAACGACATCAATAAGAAATACCAGCAGTTTTATAGAGGGACTCTTCTTTTATTTTACACACATTCTTACATACTACTGCATTTTGACAATCTGGGATGTATATATACGCAGGAACGTTGACAGAGGATTGAGTTTTGTTTTATGTGATGAGGTTCAAGATTTGGGATTAAATCAATAGACAAAAACTAACCTGTATTACTGAGCTATTTTACATAAACAATTAGTATTGTTACGAATTACTGTTTAGGAAAATTATAATATATCTACAGTTATATATTTTCCGATACCTCTATGAATTTCCCATTTGATCTTTTTATCATTGAAAACAGCATCGAAATCGTCCCTTTATCCTTGGTTGCTATAAGACGCTTTACCTATACAGGTGTTACCAGGGTGCTCTCTTCGAGGTCCGCGTTCGAAGCATTAATAGTGGGTAGCTATTCAGTTCAAGTTGTCATTTGTACCGAAGACAGCAGACAGTGAACATCGGAAAGGTTGGAAAGGAAGTAGTTTACAGCAGGGAGAATGTTTAGTTTAAGTGAAGTGAAGTGCTTGGAACCTGCGGACAGAATATAGAAAGGCTGAAACTGTTGGTTCGGTACAGATTGTCCAAACAGGGCTGGCGCTAAGGTTTTGCGTCTCACATCTCTCACTATTGCAGTGAGTGTTTGCTGACATACCATGCCTTAGTGCTACCCTATTGTTCCGACAGTCAAAGACATATTTGTTTAATAAAGTTTCATACGAAAGTTTACACCAGTTCAAATAGTTTCCATACATTCGTTTTAATAGGTTCCATACATTTAGGTTTCAGCCTATAGTTCCAAACATTTGGTTTTAAACAAGTATTAGACTGAAAGGGTTTTAGACAGTTTAATTTACAAGGTTCGGGTTAGGTTGATAGGTGTTGAAATTCGTTTTATGAAGTATTTGTTTTATATTGAGTAGTATAGCGTAAACTGTTTGACTTTAAACATTTTGCATTTGCTCTTCAAATCCCAGGGAACCCGAGGATAAAAATATTAAAACGCCCTCGCCCGGTTACACGTAACAGTATTGTAAACATTCTTAACACTGACGAAGGCTATTTGTTAAGCCGAAATATTTGCCAACACGATTTTATCATATCATTTTCGTATATTACCATCTTATATTAGTACCGTTGTGCAAATCTGTAGACTATATAACTGACGTATTATGCAATAATGTCTGCTAATACAGAACAAAGGTGTCTCATTTTAGTAAACATGGCGATACTAAATTAATATGTCTGCATGTAAGATGACATGAATATTATTACAAAGGCAACATTTCTTCATATTTGGATTAAAACATACCTTGCTGGATATTTGCCCTTACCGACTGTTCCTCCAAGTTGGTCATAACCACTGCATATGGAAAACATAAACAAAAACATGAACAGTTTCCTCATTATCTAAATTAATATGTTAATTATAATCTAAAGTATAATAGCTTTCTTCCAATAATTAAAATGTTCTATTCACCATTTGATTTTAATTTCTTTTTTATTTTTTTAAAATTTTTTTGTTTATTATAATTCATATTGGATTACAAGTGGGAGGTTTAGCTAATGATAAAACCAGGGTTAACCCATAAGTTTCTTCGGAAATGCCTGTACCAAGTCAGGAATATGACGGTTGTTTCCATTGGTTGATAAAGTCTAACATTTGATTTTGTCAGGTTTTGAGGACTTCCACCTATTTTTAATTTCGCTTGGAGTTCGGTATTGTTGTTAATATTTATTCAGATGAACACAGGACTTGAGCATTTTTTTTCTTCAGTATAATCTAAAGTATAATAGCTTTCTTCCAATAATTAAAATGTTCTTTTCACAATTGGTTTTTAATTTGTTTTTAATTTTTTTAAAGGTTTTGTTTATTATAATTCATATTATAACTTTAAACTACTGTCATACAAGTGGGAGGTTTAGCTAACGATAAAACCAGGGTTAACCCATAAGTTTCTTCGGAAATGCCTGTACCAAGTCAGGAATATGACGGTGGTTTCCATTGGTTGATAAAGTCTAACATTTGATTTTGTCAGGTTTTGAGGACTTCCACCTATTTTTAATTTCGCTTGGAGTTCGGTATTGTTGTTAATATTTATTCAGATGAACACAGGACTTGAGTTTTTTTTTTTTTTTTCAATATAACACGATTATGACTAAAAATAAACATGTAAGTCATTTTGACTAAACGCAATATTTTAATTTTCATAATATCCATATATCTGTTTTAACATGCAAGACATTAGTTAAAATTAAAATGACTGGTTGCTTATAAGGCATTTTCGATTAACGTTTAATTCAAATGTTGCTTTATTTATGTAAAATTGTAAGAATACTTAAGATATTCAACTAACAGCTTGGTACAAACAGATGACATTTATGTTTTGTGACAACGAGCAAACAATTTTAAATGATTGATATATTGTTGTTGAATAGGAATTTATCATAAATGAAGTGTGTGTGTGTTTGTGTGCTTGTCAATAGTGAATATGTTCTAAAAAAGAATATAACACATACCTTTTAAGCCCTACCCTAAAAAGGAAAATCAATGTAAATACAAAAATCAAATACAGAATCAGTAGAAGCAATACATACAAAAATCCTTCTACCACCCTTTCTTTCAATGGTAAAATAGAGTACATTATGCATTTTATTTCTCAAGCTTTTCAATACATGCATGCGCCTACGGCAATAAGCAGTTAACACTAATAGCAAGGTTTTGAAATTCCATTTCATTCTTATTCGGTATTGATGTCATATAACCAAACATTCTTAAATTATGGTCATCTATTTTTAATTAGTTCTTTATTATTTTCACATCTCATTTTTTCACCGTTTTAAATGAAGCAGAAGAATTGCGGCAAAAAAAAAAAGACATGTAGGAAAAATATGTCATATGCTGGAGAACAAATAGACAAGCAGTATTTAAATATACGCTATAGAAGCCATACTCATAACAATCTAGAAGCGATATAAAAATATATATTACGCTTTAGAAGTATATGTATTATACATAGGTTTATTTGGATATAAGTTCCACTTTTTTGGTAAGAATAAATGGTTCAAAATTTAACAAATAACGAAACTTAAATATTAATAAAAATCTTTTTTCCTACAGGATATCGCTTGTTAACTGTCTTCAATAAAATTTATAAGTTATATACAACGTTCTGAATGTATAAAGTAACACACGTGATTTATACAGAACTAATTTATATACTGGATGCCAAGAGAAATGGACTTCATCATATCCAATATCAGAATAAGAAAATGTGGTACGATTAACATTGAGACAACTATCCAACAGAGACCAAAGCAGTAGATGCATATATATATATAGGTTACCACACGGCCTTCAACAATAAGATAAAGCCAAACCATATAGCACACTAGACAGTTATGAAAGATCCCGACATTACAAAGTGTTTAACAATTCAACCCAGAAACCGTACTGCTTAATTCATGTACAAAACAATAAACGAAAAACAAATATGATAACCAGCAACCAACGCCAAGGCCATTTGGTTCCTCTTTGAATAAAAAAACAAAAACGTTTATAAATAGTTTGGTCTCAAATCGACTTGTTCAGTTCAGACACGTGCGATTAGTACTAGTCAGATAGGGGTCAAAATCAAAACGCAAATGTGATGACACTGGACCAAATAAAAAGATAAGTTGTTAACATGCATTGCATTTAACTTTCATATTCACATGACGTGGCTGCGAATTCAAAAAACCGAAAGTTCCTCTTGATTTTACTAACGAATTGGTTAAATGCTGGTGACCATATTTCTCACCCAAGGACAATCCTTGGGTTTCGTAACAAAATTTTACGCGTAATTTGAGTTTCTTCAAGACAAAATGACCTTAAAATTACAGAAAAACAGAACTCTCAGTCTGGATGACCCAAATTCAGACCCTCAGTCTGCACAAATCTCAAATAAATTGCTTCGCCGAGCGCAGCTGGATACGACCGCAGAAGTCCAACCCTGAACAGTTGGGGCAAAAATGGACACAATATTCGTGCTTGATACAGGTCTGAATTTGGATTGAAATTAAATGTTTGACACATAATAGGTTTCTGACACAGAATAACTGTAGTCAAAGAACTTAGAATTGGTTATATGATTTAAATTTATATTCAATTGTTTTCTTTTGTGCAATAAGCATAGTTGCAAATTGACCCCCCCCCCCCCCGCAAAAAAAAAAATTTCACCCCCCTTTTTTTTGGCAAAAAAATTTTACCATATTTCTCACCCAAGGACAATCCTTGGGTTTCGTAACAAAATTTTACGCGTAATTTGAGTTTCTTCAAGACAAAATGACCTTAAAATTACAGAAAAACAGAACTCTCAGTCTGGATGACCCAAATTCAGACCCTCAGTCTGCACAAATCTCAAATAAATTGCTTCGCCGAGCGCAGCTGGATACGACCGCAGAAGTCCAACCCTGAACAGTTGGGGCAAAAATGGACACAATATTCGTGCTTGATACAGGTCTGAATTTGGATTGAAATTAAATGTTTGACACATAATAGGTTTCTGACACAGAATAACTGTAGTCAAAGAACTTAGAATTGGTTATATGATTTAAATTTATATTCAATTGTTTTCTTTTGTGCAATAAGCATAGTTGCAAATTGACACCCCCCCCCCCCCCCGCAAAAAAAAAAATTTCACCCCCTTTTTTTTGGCAAAAAATTTTTTTTTCACCCCAACCCTTTTCTCTTTAATTTCTGAAATCTTTAATGAGAAAAAAAAATTCTTTCCCTCAAGATATGGTCAAATCTCAATTCAAATTTCCAATGGAGTTTGCAACCATAATTACCAATCTAAATACATCATAAAAGTCTTAAATAGATAATTTAAAAGCAGTGTAAGGGAGGTAATCATACACTGTCCAACATTCTACAATTTTGTTTTTGGATTACCTCCCTTACACTGCTTTTAAATTGTCCATTAAACAGGAAACCCTTGTTTTTTCCCCTTTTTTGCCCCTAATTCCATAACGGTTTGAGAAATAACCTCCAAAGCCAATCATAACCATCCCTTTGTGGTATGGAAACTTGTGGTATAATTTCAGAGAGATCCATACACTTAAACACAAGTTATTGTCTGGAAGTTACAAAAATGCTTATTTTTGGCCACTTTTTGGCCCCTAATTCCTTAACTGTTGGTACCATAACCCCCAAAACCAATCCCAATCTTCCTTTTGTGGTATTGAACCTTATGGTAAAATAGAGATCCATTCACTTGAACTAAAGTTATTGTGCGAAAACCAATGTGTCTTCGGACGACGACGACGACGACGACGACGCCAACGTCATACCAATATACGACCGCAAACATTTTTTGCGGTCGTATAAAAACGGTAAATGCTGTAACAATAGACATGTTGACGATTTAATCGGGCATGCTTGATACAAACCTTAGTCGTCAATAATATCGACTACATGTTCTCCAAACAATCCTAGAAACATATTAAATATTCATGTGGAAAAGCGTAAATTTGAAGATTGACAATTTCAACGACTAACATTTTCACTTTATTATGTTAGTGAAGTCATTAAATTGAAGTAGTACTTTACATTTTATATCTTGATGTGATTTCATCAGCTACATTACGCAGAAATAATGATTATTGAGTATTAATGGAAAAATAATCCATAACATTTTTTTAAAGTTTCAACACATGAAAATTAAGGTATTTACGCTTTTCTTTAAATTTTAAACATGCATATTTATGAGGCACATACCTGGATTGTCTAGAAAACCAACAAATTGGTCTGAAAACATGAAGATTAATGAAGTTTTAGCTTTTGTACCAACTGATTAGAAATGGAAACGTATACGTCCTCTGTAACATACAATCTAACAACTCTAGGAACATCGTAGAGGCAGACAAACATTGCAGTAAAACTGAACCCGAATAAGCTATTTGTTATATTTTAAAAAATCAATCGCTTCATTAATTCCTCGGAAAGAGTAACCCGAATAGTTATTGTTAAGATAACTACAGTATGATTATTTTGGCGTTCTGAGATTAAAAATAGCCGCTATTGATAAGCAATACTTAAAATCAGACATTGTATTAAAAAATGTACAAAGGAAGGGCTACTAAATTATATATGTATAACAATAGATTATACGAATATTCATATTAAAACTAAAAAAGCGTTTATATATTTCGTGCCGATTTGAAATTCAAAAAACGGACTTCGGCAACGGGTTCTGATTTATTTCTTCCTAGAAGTATATTATTCTGTTAAATATATACAATTAAAAATTACTCTAAAATATACAATTCTAATCATTTTCAGTATTTATCATTATAATGTTATAAACAATTCGTATTTAAAAAAAAACAACGCTTAACACCCAAAAAGTCACTGAAAGATAGATTTTGTGTTAGTTTTTCAACTTAAAAATGACATAGAAATATATATATATACGAAAAGTGTAAGTGAAATACAGAACTCAAATTTTTTTTTTATAAATAGATAATATATGAATATATAGGTATTTATAACCATATCCCACTTATATAAAAGAAAGTCTTTGAAAAATGTGTTGCACATGCACATTTGAATTTAATGCTTTTCATATTTGAAAAAAATAAATCTATTAGGTTAGATAAGCAAACGAACTTGAATATGATTCCATAATAAACCACACAATCTTAGTCAGAACCCTTATCAGCATAAATTATGTTTACAATTTTCGCATCATAATGAATATGTAAGTAAGCTTATTTTCAACTTAATCTGACTACAACTACATTGTTAACAAATGGTTACCTAGTTTAAACCATTTGGAACATTTAACCTGATACGAAAGAACGGGCGCAAGGACGCACAGAATGGAAACAATATACCCCTGCTATTATCAAATTGAGAATGGAAATGGGGAATGTGTCAAAGAGACAACAACCCGACCAAAGAGCAGAAAACAGCCGAAGGCCACCAATGGGTCTTCAACACAGCGATTAAATCCCGCACCCAGAGGCGGGATTCAGCTGGCCCCTAAACAAAAATGTGTACTAGTTCAGTGAAAATCGACGTCATACTTAACTCCAAAACATATAAATGCACTAAAATTAAAAATCATACAAGACTAACGAAGGTCAGAGGCTCCTGAATTGGGACAGGCGCAAACATGCGGCGGGGTTAATAGATATAAGAAGATGTGGTATGAGTGCCAATGAGACAACCCTCCATCCAAGTCAAAATTTATAAAAGTAAACCATTATAGGTCAAAGTACGGTCTTCAACATGGAGCCTTGGCTCAATCCGAACAGCAAGCTATAAAGGGCCCAAAAATTACTAGTTTAAAACCATTCAAACTGGAAAACCAATGGTCTAATCTATATAAAAAACGAGAAACACTTATGAACCACATCAACAAACGACAACTACTGAACATCAGATTCCTGACTTAGGACAGGTGCAAACAATTGCAGCGGGTTTAAACGTTTTAATGGTACCAAAGCTTTAGCCTTATCTGAAACAATAGTGTAACATCACAACATAGAAAAACACACTATAAAATATCAATTGAAATGGCTTAACTCAATCAAAAGACATATTAACACCGGTGAACATACACTGAACAAATAAATTTTATCTATGATACAATGCAAATACAAAATAAATAAACTAAGGGAAGAATAATTAAAGTAACATGTTATACCGCTGTGAAATGTTAAACAATTTAAGAAAAACAATATACTTGAACAAAAATATCAGCCACTTCCATTACTATAAACACAGGTTTATAAAAATAATTTTGTTGTTAGGTATACGTGTACAGTTCAGTTAGAGAAAGGAAATATTTTTACAAAATAAATAATTTTGATGTTCATTGTACGAAGAAGAGAAAATTTATAGTAATCCCAAACACTTATCAAAGCTGGTATATAGACCAGATATAACCCTGAATAACATTAAATAACAAAAAAGCATTACAATTAGTATCAACAGGTCATAAACAAGAAAGTACGATTTGAGAGTACTCGCAGTTACTGACAGCTAGTTAAAAACCAAAAACAATTAATAATAAAAAATCATGCATCAGAGACTAAAATCGACTAAAACACATCCCAGGGATTTATTATTTTAACGTCATGGACAATCAAAGAAGACATGACTTGTGCAATGCCAAAAAATAAATATGTATTGACAGGCAGTAGGCTAGATAGGAGTTAACCTCTTTATAGATCAAAATGAACGTGGGTGTGTCTTTATACATCCCGTTTGAAAAGAATAAAAATTTAGTTATGTTTTAATTCGCTGATGACAAAATCGATACTAGTGCCAATGTAAACTATATTCAAAGATCTAATTACAACATTGGTAAGATAACCTTTACTAATAAGTTTGTTTAAAGGTTCGATTAGTTTACATGGATCACATAGTGATTTCCGCGCTATGACCGTAAAATTTAGGATGTGAAATACCATTTTTAATCAGTTTTCTACAGGTACAGCCAAATTTACAAATCAAATCTTTGTATCTATGAAAGAATTTAGTAAATGTTAAACATGTTTAGTGAGATCTCAACCCTCCCCCTATACCTCTAGCCAATGCAGAAAAAACCAACACACAGCAATACGCACAGTAAAACTAAGTTAAAAAGAAATCTGAGTCCGATGTCAGAATAGGTAACAAAAAGAAACTAAGCAAAATGACAATGATATACTGGTAATACATACTATGTAGATGTCCGAGAGAAATTTAGACTTCAATTTAATTCAAAATAGAACAGTCTAAGTATTTAATGCATCTTTTCTGTAATTTTAATGGGTTAAAACGGACACAAGATAGCCTGCTGAATACATTTTATCTGGATAAAGAAAAAGATGTCATTTGAATACTGACCAGCCTAGACAGAACTCCCAACATCTAACCATATAAAACATGTGCCAATTAAAGTTAGTGTAGAACAAAGTAACATAATTGGTGTTTGTTGATTTGATTTTTAAACCTTGCAATTTTATTTTATTCGTGATCTCAACTTACCGACAACATAAACAGCAAAAAAAATACTTAATCTGAAATAAATTAACAAAATAAACAATACATGTATTTATAAGAAATGGTACATAAGCACAGACAAGTAATTATAAGAAATGGTACATACGCACAGACAAGAAATTATACGAAATGGTACATGCATGTAACCAGAGACAAACAATATGAGGCATAATACGCTAAAGGTTTAAAATGTTGAATATTACTATACCTTTGATAAATAATTACAAGATTGAACAGTTATAGTCATAATCATGTGGAAATGCCTTAAATCATAATTAGTTAATTTTATTATACTTCATCATTCATGTCAAAATGCCCGATTTTGATTGGTTAATACGAGGGAGACAATTTACTCTATCCCATGGCAAATACTCTACTACCCTTCACGGAAACGCTTGCTCAAGTGTGCGCTTTAACAAATACGGATGATTGTTATGTACAATTACTTTACATTTTGAAATTTAATAGACAGTAATAACAGAAGATTCAGAATAATAAATTAAATAACACATATCTGAGAAGGTGATAGAGCAGATTGTTACCCCAAGAAAAGACATTGTCAACCTTAGCTTCGCCTCAGTTGACAATGTTTTCTCGGGGTAACAATCTGCTCTATCACCATCTCAGCTATGTGTTACTTAAATAGTATCATGTCTATGACTGTTAGCGTTGAATTTTGTTACATTCTTTATACCAAAATTTAGTCATTTTCCATCGGAAATGATATACATATATATATAAAGTCATTATAGATACCAGGTTTGAATTTTGTACGCCAGACGCGTGTTTCGTCTAAAAAGACTCATCAGTGACGCTCGAATAAAAAAATATGAAAAGGCCAAACAAAGTATGAAGTTGAAGATCAGACATCGTTCAGACATAGACCACACATTTCTGCGGATAATCGTGCCATTGGGTTTATTGTCTTTGCATACTATAAGTAAGTATTTGTGGCCTATTCGTTCAAAATTTTAGAAAAAAAATTGATAGAGCAAAGGTCAAATTTCCATTGAATTTGTTTTATTCAGTTCAAAATAGCTAAGGAATGTTTATGAAACTTGAAAGAAAGGGTAAACATGTATAGTCAATTTCTCCTGAATGTACTTCACTCATTCGGTCAAAATCCAAAGGTTGAAATCTAAATATCATCGAGAGACTAAACATTAAACTTAAAATATCTTATCACAACTTTGCATTATCATATTTTTGCTTTAAATATTAGTCAGCGCTCTAATGCTTTGATACAGTCCAATATTACGAAATGTATTTAATTAAGCAAACTGTGATGGGGAAAAAGTGGACATCACTTCTTATTAACTTATTCATAAAATTAACATTTAAATCTTATGTGAAATTATTAAATTCAATTATTTAATGACAAATTGGGTAACGAAATAAATGTCTCAATTTTATTTACATGTTAATAAAAATTACCTTGACGGACAAATATTGGAAATCAAATGATTTCGACAAAATAATAATAAGTATAACAATATAACGACATTTTATGACCGATCAGCTTGTCAGTGAAAGTCCAAAAATATCAAGTTAAAGAAAAATACTCTTTTTAAATAGTTCCAAATGAAGATGCACAATTTATACAAATTAGCGCTATCACAAAACCTTTGCAAAAATCTTTCAAAAATGTAGATTTAAGACATTTTCAAGAATTCAAAATTACTGCACATAAAGGTCGCAAGTTAGGAGCCTGTATTTCAGTGGTTAACGTTGTCGTTGGTTCATGTCTGTCATATTTGTTTTTCGTAAATTGTTTTGTTTTAAATTAGGCCGTTAGTTTTCTGAATTGAATTGTTTCATATTTTTCATGTCGGGGCCTTCTGTAGCCGACTATACTGTATGGGTTTTTCTCATTGTTGAAGGCTATACGGTTGCCCATAATTGCTAACATTCACTTCATTTGAACTTTAATGGAAAGATGTCTCATTGGCAATCGTACCACATCTCCGTACTTTTATATTTAACGGTTTTATAATCAACTAATTTAAAATGTCAATAAAACTGAGCAATCAAATGAATCATTGTCATTACTTAAACCAAAGGATACAAAAAAAATCACCAATAACAGAGCTTGCAATTTGTTAACAGTCTTTCTCATTTCTTCAGTTAAATGACCTTTGGTAACCTCTATAATGCATATTTTGCAATTGGTTATCATGCTATTTGGTAAATTGTTGTTGCATAATCATATTAAAATTACACCCTCGATTGCTGTTCATTACGTTAATGATACTTTTGTTGTTTTTTTTTTTAATATTAAGACTATTTTTAACTGATAATTTTTACAGTTATGTGTTATTGTATAATTACTTGATATTTGTTCTACATACCCATGAACAGATCCACTCACAACATTTACATATACAACAGCTATTCTTATTATCTAAAATAAGTTAAAATATCAAATGTTAACGTATTATATCTTATACATGTATATCATAATTTCATGATCAATTGTGCGTCGGAATGTTGTTGTGAGAGTAGCACACTTTGCATACAAGTATTGCAAATGCAAAAATAGAGACCACAGTAAATTAACTATTTGTCTCATTCATGGTTTCTTTGGGTCCTTAAACTCTTCACGTGTGTTGGTACACATACATTCTTGGCTTTTATTTTTATTTATTTTTTTTGCTTTAAAGCGTTCGCATGAAGGTAAATCCAGAAAAGTGCTTCGGACGCATACAATTTACAAAATTCTAATATGACGTTCTTCTTTCGCTTTGGAAACACAGCCATATTCTAATTCCAATTGAACATGGGCTGCACGTTATTGACGCCACAATTGAAATAGCAACGTCAGTTGTATTTTGAAAAACGCCAGAGATCAAACTAAACATTTTTGTTCGTTTTGCTTGCTAGATATAGGAAATTAAATAAATCATTCTTAAAGTAAGTTTATATGAATCTGTGTCATTTTTTATCGTGAAATGGTCGATTTTCTATATCGTTTTTGGCTTCATTAAATGAAAATGGCTGCCTATCGAACGTGTATTATTATAGGTCCGCTTCGAAGTACAAAAATTCTAATTTCCCTATTAGAATCGAAATAATTCTATCATGCCATGCTCTATGCTCATTTTAACATGATGGCATTATATTTGTCAATATCTTTATACCAAGCGTTAATTGACAAATGCTTACCCATGTTAAAATAAGCATAGATCATGGCATGATAGAATTATTTATCGATATCTACATATCTGACATAAATGCATTAAAGAGATACAAATGAAATTCAAGGTAAATTTCAGGAATTAAAGGAATCACATGAACACCAACAGGGTCGAGACCGGGTGCGTTGACAAGTCAATCACATGAACACCAACAGGGTCGAGACCGGGTGCGTTGACAAATCAAGTCTTTCATGCTATGAATCGATGCATCACCTACCATGACAACATGTCGCTATAGTGAGTATAAGAATGTTTATATCTTTATTGATCCATTGCTTATAGTTTCCAGTTTGTTCATGCGCCCAAATCCATGTTCTCTTCTCAAGCTTAAAATGTTCGAGTTATTTCTTTTCATAAATATGTCCCGTTTTCCAAACAATATTTAACCTAGTACAAAGTACTGCACAGTGTAATAGTTTACTTAATGTACTTCTACTACAAGGCCATTCCAAAATAGGGCACCATTTTCTACATAAGGACATGCCTGTACCAAGTCAGGAATATGAAAGTTGTTTTCCATACGTTTGATGTGTTTGAGCTCTTGATTTTGCCATTTGATAAGGGACTTTCCGTTTTCAATTTTCTTTGGAGTTCGGTATTTTTGTTATTTTACTTTTTACGTATGAAGTAAGAAACAAAATTATAAGATTATGGAAAAGAAAACATAAAGTGTATTTATTCATGAGACAAAAATCCTATTAGTACTTGACGAAACGCAAAAGCAAAGAAAAATCTTTTTGACATTGTTTATCATCACAAAGTCACCGTAAGGCGTTGCTCACACCTCAAAGTCGATGTCACATTGTGCAACAAGTTCACGATAGGACCATGTACTGGTTAGGGACATAATTTGACGTCGATACGCTTCTTGGGCATTGATAGGGGCAATAGGGGGTAGGATACCAAGGGGACACTCAAAACTCGTAGGCCGAAGACGCATGTCAGGCCTTTTATAACTATGCGGTATGGGTATTGGTCATTGTTGAAAGCCATACGGTGACCTATTGTTACTAACTTCTACGTCATTTGATTTCAAATGGAGAGTTGTTTCATTGGCAATATTATCATACCACATCTTATTTTTATAACGTAATGGCAACAATCCAAATTGTGCTCGATGGTAGACATGCAGATTTATATACTAGTACTGAATTTAGATACTGTTGTATAAATCACTACACACATGGCAACATACATGTGTCCGAAACACTGAAAACTTATACAACAGAGTGATATTTTAAAATGTAATATATATACATATATTATCTGGTTATACATTTAAACACCAATGCAATATTTATAGACATGTTTAATACATGTGATTATTTAACAACCTGTGTATGTGGCCGACTAAAAAAAATCAATTGTCAGGTGACTGGCAAGTACATGTAACACGTACTACTAATCCCTTTTTTTGCTTTTGGTGTAATTGTAAACATCCAAATATGATAAGTTTTAAACAATGCATTTTTTGTATCGTTATTCATAGTTTATCAAAAAAACGCAATATCATATGAAAATCGTCATACATATAAACATAATTATAGAATACATACAATGCATGATGCTTTTTCATCTACCTAACTGATATCGAATTCATGCCATTCTCATTAGCACCAGAAAAGAGTTTGGTAAATAATTACAGTGTAAAATTCATCAAATATAAATTACCTGTCATGATGGTAAGACCTAATTCACTTCCTCATACCTTATACGTAGAAAATGGTTATTTATAGAAAATCGGGTGTACTATTTTCGGAAGTCACAACATTTTGTATTATATTTAAAGATTCTCAAGCTATATCATGTATATACAGAAATAAAACTTGTTACATCAGTTTTTGTTTCATATTCACCGTATGAAGAACTGCATTAGGCTGATTCAAAGCCGGCGGACAGATATTTGCCTCGAATTTTGTACCATCAAACATGTATCCATTTACAGTAAGATACTTGTTTGATAGTAGAAAAAGTGGGACAAGTGTGTGTGGTCAACACTTCATTACAGATAACACGCATTGTAATAACACTTTAATAAAGCCCAATGAGTGGAACCTAGTCACTGTCTGTGAATGCTAGTTAGACCTTTCTTGTGCCACTGAGATCCCATCGCTTATGCGTTGGCTTACCCCGACATTGTCCGTACGATGGACGTGAAGCATGGCTAAACACATAATCTGTCCTCGGTCATTGTTGACCTGAAACGTGTCCATGAAAAAACGGCACACGGGAAATCAAAGCTGTAATTAAGTCAGTCTACATGGTCTATGAGTTTTAAAGTAAAACATATCTATAAAGGTGAGACAATTTAACAAATTAATATGTTATATAGATATATCTCTATAGAATCTTTTAATTTCATCGGGGACGTGTATTTTTCATATTGTTTACGTAAACAATATTCAATTTTTGCGCTTAGATGAACAGCGAGACTGACCAATTATTCTATTTATAATTTCAAATACTTTGACTAAGATGTTTCAAATATCAAGGACATCCAACAGATTCGTTGTTTTGGAAGAACTTGCACAGACCGACGGACTAAGTTAAGTTGACACTTCGGTATTCTCGCTCTTCTTTATTCTATCATGATTGAAATAGGTATCATTAATCATACCATTTAATTTACGATGGCCATTTCATCATAAGATATAAAATGACAGTATCGTTGACATCTAATTTCGCCAGTGCGTCGGGTGCGCTTTTTCTGGACAAGTTAACCTTCATCAGGAACGCTCAAACTTAAGAATTCAAGACTTTACAATTTAAACATATCATTTATAACACTTATTCAAGAGATCTGTTACTTCTACTACCAGATTGTCCTGAATATACATGAAATATTTGCAACTTGACGTAAAGCAAACTCCAATCAATCAAATACCAGATACAATGTGTCGTGATTACTTTGTTGTCAATAAAATACATCATACTTTATTTTCCTTAGTTTGGATTATTAAGACGAGAACATGATCATAATGTATTAGGACGAGAACATGGTGAAGAGATATGACTATGAACCCTGCCTTGTACTAGACCGAAACAATGAGTCAGATTTTTTATGTGCTAGCTATAGTCCACAGGAAGACATGCAACCATACCCGGACATACAAATGTATTTTTCTGACTCCAAGCCGACCAGTCTTTGCTCTTACTCCTAAATGCCGCGTGCTTAACAGAGAAGCAGCAAATACCAATGTTCAAGTCTTTGGTTTAAACCGGCCGAGGATCGAACCCATGACCGCCTGCACTCGAAGCGAATACACTACCACTAACCCACCGAGCTGATTGATTTTAGTTGATGTTGTTTTAGAATAAAGAAAATCGGTCGAAAATATCATTTTTCAGCAACCAATTTGTTCTGTTATGTATGAACAAATTGACAAAATATTTATTTCATAGCGATACCATATATAAAAAAAAAGTAACAGATCATGTTTGAGTTTTGGTCCCGTTGATGGATTTTTGCTGAAGTTGTGCGATTTGGAAATAGAAATTGCTTAAGACATTTGTTTTCGAACTTTTTCCTGTAATGGCGGAATCGATTGATTAAATATTTGTTCACTGTTCTACATTTTTGTGTACTTGTACCATCCATTAAGTAGTTGAGTTTTATGAGTTTTGTTCCCGTGGAGCATTTTGTGGAAATTGAATAACATAACACATAGTTTATTTTTATAAGGATAAAAACTTCGACAAATCAATCTTCTGCCTTGATTTTCCATTTTCCGTTGATATGTATTTCTTTGTTCTTGTAGCACAGATGACTGGTATTTACCCATATTTACCAGCCCGTACGAACTCGGAAATCTCGATACAAATTAAAATATAATCCGATGCACATGGCTTTCAATCAAGTTGTTCAGTTATACATAGCTGCTAATTAGATGATAACGGATTGGTGTTTAACGTCCAGTGACAAACATTACATGAACATAAAATAGACACATGCTGATGTGAAATGAATATGAAATCTGCTCTGTACTAGACTGACACGCTGAGGCGAGCTTTTTTGATGTGCTAATTCACAGGAAAACTGGCTACAGAAAGGAATTTAACCTTAACTAGACATATCATTCTGACTACGAACTGACCAGTCTGTGATCTTATTCCTAAATGCCCCAGCAAGTATACCTGTTTCTAATCTGATTAAAGTTTAGAGAAATCATCACTCGTTTACTCATATATGTATGTGGATAACGAAATCAGAGATCTATAAAATGTATATTTTAATTAGATTGACCAGTTTTCATGTCTTTGGTTTGATTCCGCCGGGGTCAAACCCTCAACCGTCTGCACCCGAGGCAAACACTAAAACACCAATTGAAAGCTGTCGCAATGATATACAGTAAATGTGTTTAATATCTTATAAATCTACCATTATCAATGCAATTGTACGTAATATTGTGCTCCTTTGATTATAGTTTGTGACGATTAATTTAATAAATGATAATAAATACAAAAGACAGCAATTTTAAATACAATGACATTTTATAACATAAATGAATGCAAGCTGTGTTCAGTTTTGCTCTGTGCATTAAACATTCAAAGAATCATCAGCAATGTAAATTTCTCATTCCATTGGTATATCAAGAATAATTAGCAACAACACACACACATCATCAAACTGGTTGATAGGAATTATGCCCTATGGATACTACATCAAGTCAATATATGGGAAATACGTGTAAATACATATAAGCGTCTTCTCTTTGTTCGGAAATTAAGGTTGTTTATTTTGTTCTTCTGTGTTTGGGTATTCTCTGTAATAAATAAGAAAGAAGTGTAAAATATCTACTTACATGAATGTAACCATGGTTTATGTGAAACAAATATCACAACATTAATTGTGGTAAAAAGTGTAGATATCTCCTACATCTACCTATAGGTAATATTTACAGTAGTGAACATGTTTGCTTCCTTGAAAGAGTAGTTGGTGATTGGGTGTGGATAACGATCAAATAATGTGTGTTTTTTTTTATTTCAATTTCCGAATTCGATTTCCTATCTCCATCCTCTTTGTACAACTAGGCTTTTTCAGATAAAAGATTTTTTTTGCTTTGAAATATCCAGATCACTTTGATATATACCCTTTTGATGTTGTTGCTTACGTTTGCAGCACGTATGTCATTTGAATTGTGATGATTAATTTTGACGCTGATCACACGTGTCTGTACGACAAACGTATAATGTATGTAACAAAACCCTTGATTTGTCTTTTCTGAATATAGAAAAAGTGATTAATATATTAATATATTGTTATTACAGAAACGGAAACCAATTTGTGGCCGTTTAACGAAAGGGATTTTTCAGAATGTCAAATGGCAAAAAGGACGAGAATTAAGTTGTCATATGATATAAATATGAACTGGTCATTGCATAAGACAAACACTATAACCCGACTTTTTACCGAACTAGTTCACAATGTAAGTCAAACAACATGAACTGAAAACATTATTCTGACAAAATGTACACCGGCCAGTCTTGGGTCTTACTCATATACATACCTCGTCCATGGAGAAGTTGCGATTACTATTTTTTAAATATTTGGGTTGACTCGGTCGAGGATCGAACCCGGCGGTCAAGGCGAGCACGCTATCAAAAGACAACGGCGGGAGGCGGTAAAGAAACAGTCGGAAAATACTCACGTGTGCGTATCATGTTGTTGTGGACAGCTGTTGTCTGGAAACGTGTCGTAGTTTCTGAAAATAAATATTTATAAGCTTAAGTAAAACCACACGCAAGAACATGACAAATACCACTAATTAGTTAACGTATAATATCATGTACATAAGAAGTATTTTTTTTTTCATTTTAATTAAAAACAAAATGTTTATTTACACCGTTCATCTATTAATGCTTGTTTTTGTCATGATGTTTTTTTTTTCTATTAATTAACAACCTTTCACTGACTCTGAATGTTGTGTACAATATAAAAAGCTTTAATGTTGTATAATTTACATTGGACTTTATGTAAAATCGAATGGTAGATTGCATGATTGATAACAATTTTATGGAATGGAACATAATCAACAATGGAAGCTGTTGTTTAGAAGACACCGATCGCATGTTTATTTTTCGATGAGCATTACTTGAAATCCTTATCATTTTTACTTAAAAAATACCCCGATTTTTTTCCAGAATTTTATAGTTCATTGATATTGTTTTAAAATCTTTGAGAAAAGGCACCTTGAAACCCTTGTCAGAACAGTCTTAGACCTTTTGTATATTTAAAGACTTACTTGTACCCAGAATTATACCAAACATCTTTGTATATATATACATTGATATTTATGCGTTGTTATCATTTCATATTTGTTTATTTATTTGAAGGAGTAGCAAATCCCTTTGACTCCAAATGTTCATTCAAGAGCCTATGATTCAGTGGTTATCTTTGGTGCATGACTGTCTACCTTATATGTGTTTCGTGTGCTGTTTCTTTTTAAATAAATCAGGCTGTTGGTTTTCTCGTTTGAATCATTTTACATTTTGCATTTTGTAATGCCAGGAATTTTATTTATAAATAAGAAGATGTGGTATGATTGCCAACGAGACAACTCTCCACAAGAGACCAAATGACGTAGAAGTAGTCAACTATAGGTCACCGTATGACCTTTAACAATGAGCAAAATTCGTACGGCATAGTAGGCTACAAAAGGCTCCGAAATGCAAAATGTAAAACAATTCAAACGAGAAACACAACGGTCTGATTCATGTACAGAAATAATCAGATCGATACAAAGCACAAACACAACTAACAAAAAAACACATCAGACACAAAGTATACAAATCTGAGTGTACGCGCAATTACTGATAGCAACTTATAAATTCATACATCTAAGACTAAAATTATATCAACCAGTACACTTCCAATTTGAAAACTGGAAAGTGGCGTATCATTTGACACTAGAATCGAAGTCTACTCTTTAACAAATGATCTTGAAAGGGTCCCTACATTTCGAAGAGCATACTACTCCTTTAACACGAGACAATCAATAACTGACGGGTTGTGTATATGTATTTGATAAATCCCACACAATCGCAAAGGCTTCATGTGTGAATTTTGGGATTATAGTTCATACCCTTTTGGTCTAATTTCTATACTCCGGGTAACAATCGCGGAAAATCTTGATTAAATACAATAACTTACGACTTCACTGTTTCTTCTTCTTTGAGTTTTTGATATTTACTGAAATCACATAGAAAAGAAAAAATAAGATCCAAATACGTTATTCGATGCCATTTGACCACGGGAGATTTGATTACATATTTGGAATACCTGCCTTCACATTCAGACTAATGCTTGTACTTAATCTGACTTACACGCTGCCTATAAATACAGTGTTGTTTTGTTGTTTTTATTTTATTTCTAACAGCTATAACGAAACTGGTAGATACAATTGATAACCTTATGCATTCAATTCCATCAGTTCTGGCAATGTATATATCCAGTACAATGTATATGAAACGAAAGGAAAAAATTGAAACTGTGCACAACATATGCAAAACGTGTACAGATTGGAAAGGAAACAAATCTTTTACGGAGATTTGTATTGATACATGTGTAGTGGTTACATTTAATGTGTTGTCATATTTGCAACCATACTTCCACACAATCTTATCAAACAAAAGTTTTTCTATTTAATTAAATTGTCGTTTGGTAAATCTCCATGCAAATATATTTGCTGCAACGCATTTAAGGCCTTCTCTAATGAAAAAGGTAAATATGCTAGATATACTAACTGGAGGTGTGCCGAGATGATTGAAGCTGTTAATTTTCTCCTTGATAATATTTGTGATCGTTTCGGCAATAAAGTTTATCGACAGGTTGTATGCATTCCTATGGGCACCAATTGCGCCCCTTTAATAGCAGACTTGTTCTTGTACTGTTATGAATCACAGTTTATGACCAAACTTAGCAAAGAAAAATTGCATTTAATTGATAAATTCGACAACACTTACCGTTATCTTGATGATATTTTTTCGTTAAATAATCAAGAATTTTCTAAATATACTGCCGAAATTTACCCAAAGGAACTGACTTTGAATAAATCAAACATAAACGGTAATAACTGAGCTTTCCTAGATTTAGATATTTCTGTTGTACACGGGAAACTCTACACTAACATTTACGACAAAAGGAACGATTTTTCGTTCCCTATTGTTAATTTTCCATTTTTGGACGGTGATGTTCCTTTGGCACCATCTTACGGTGTTTATATATCACAACTCGTTCGCTTTGCCCGTGTCTGCTGTGACGTTTTGGATTTCAATGAACGCAATCTACGTACTACTGGTAAATTATTAAGTCAGGGATTTTGTAAACACAAATTATTTAAACCCTTTACTAAATTCTTCTATAGATATAAAGATTTGGTTTAAAAGTTTGGTTGTACCTGTAGAAAACTTATTTAAAACGGGATAGCACATCCAAATTTTTACGGAGATGTTATTTACCGAGCCCGGCCATTTAGATACGATACGGGTAAACTTATCGATCCTTTAAATAAACTTATTCTAAAAGGTTACCAATTCAACTCTATAATTAGATCTTTGAATATTGTCTTTATTGGTATTAATATTGATTTTGTTGTCAGTAAATTAAAATCAAACTAAACATTATATTTATATACATATGCACATCCATTGCTCTACAAACTGTCGTTACCTTTATCTTGGCATTGCACACGGTCATGTTTTTCTGTGACTGTTAATGACATCTTTACACTAAATCCATTGGATGTTGGATGTGTACTGATTGAAAATTTAGTCTTAGATGCATGATTTGTTTATTAGTTATTATTGGCTTTGAACTAGCTTTCAGTAACTGCGAGTACCCTCAGATCTGTAATTAGTGTCTTTTTGTTGTGGGGATGTATAAGTACCCTGCCACGTCCACTCTGTGTTTTTGTTAAATGTATTTCTGCTTTGTATCATTCTGATGAGTTAAGCTAGTTTCAACTAATTCTTATAGTTTGTTCTTATGTTGTACTGTTACACCACTGTCCCAGGTTAAGGAGAGGGTTGGCGCCTTCAAACTAGTTTAATCAGGCCGTTGGTTTTTTCGTTTGAATTGTTTTACATTTGTCATTTCAGGGCATTTTATAGCTGATTATGCGGTATGGGTTTACTCATTGATGAAGGCCGTACGGTGACCTATAGTTGTTAATTTCTGTATCATTTGGTCTCTTGTGGAGAGGTGTCTCATTGACAATCATACCACATCTTCTTATTTTTATATAGCAATCTAAACCACAATTAAGTCAAAGAATTGCATTATTGAGTGCAAGCAAGAAAGTCCCCTAGATACAACACATATAATAACACTTTTGAAAACCTTTACATATGCATTGCTGTTATGTACAATTAACCTTTTTCTTGCCCTGAAAGAAACAACAAACTAGTATTAATACCGCACTATATACATTGGAATAACTTTTGAATACATGTCGTTTGTAAGGGCTATTTACATTTTCGTATTTTTCCTCTGAAAAATCTCAGAAAACCCAATCTGCAACAGTCAAATAAACAATTGACGTCTTGAAGTATAAACTAGATACAATACTATTATAATTTCTGAAGTGTAATTATGTGTACAATTTATATTTATCAGAACTTCTTCTTCTTAACTGTACTATAAAGTGCCAACATTGTGCTTAAATTTTATTTCTTTTTTAATCGATACAAGAATATTCATGTTTTATTGCAGATATCAAATGTTAAATATTCTGGTTTGTGTTTTGATATTATTAAAAAATTATTAAGTGCAATCGATAGAAGAATATTCATGTTTAAAATAACCTGATTCAGATATAAATGCTTTTGATTTTTGAGAACCCATTAACATGTCTAGCAAGATTTGAATGAATGAACTAATTCTTTATTTGCAAACCAGTAGTTACATGCTATAGCAACACAAACATAATTATTTACGCAAGATTTACGATCCTTAGAAAAAAGAACTCAATGCATGCATTAATATAAACTGTTTTCGCCTTTGTATAGGTTCTAAGTTTCAAGTTTGATTTAACTTCAAGATCCCGTCCACAAAGGCCCCTGGAGTATGTGAACAGTCAATATTCGCTTTTTTTCAATTATTTTTACTTCAGAATACTTTTGTTTACTTTGCTCATGTTAGATATGCACAAATTTACAACTTTAGTGTGATTATAAGTTAGTTTAATTTACAAACAAGCAAGGAGTGAAAACACCATAATGTTTACATACCTCCATTTCGCTTTAATTTTCTCTATTAGTGGTCTAAAAATAGAATGATAAAATAATTATAGAATAGATCTTAACACTTCTATGAACAAAAAGAGAAGAAATAACTAAATCTGAAAAATTTATTGAAAATAAAATTTTATAATCAACAAGACTAATAGTATCCGCTGGATATGTTTATTACTGTAGAATAATACTATTATTGTTAATGATTATGTACAAACATGCGATTGGTTTACGTATAAGATAACGTCAGATTTATTCAATAATTCTAATATGACGACCTATTATCGACAACCAGTATAATCACAATATATCTACCTTTAGCGCAAACGCAGTAATACACATAAACGGCTGTTCCGCGTTACGACCAACTTATTTATACTGCCAGATATTCTCAATTTTCGACATCAAAATCCCCAGTTTACGAAGGCCAAGCTTCAGATACAATATATTTATCTCTATTCTACAGCAAAATAAACAAATCAGTCCATTTCAATTTATTTTTCATGGTAAAATTTCGCGAAATGATGTTATTGTCTTGACATGGCAACAAAACAAGGTGACGTCACAAATATGTTTCCGTAAACAAAAAATCAAATGTAAATACCGGGCATTTTAAAGCTTCTTGTACGCCTCAGAAAGAATAAAATTACATTGGAAGAAAATTTATAAGTGAAAAATGCGATTAAAAAAAAATAATCATTGAATTATATAATATTACTAATATTATCAAAATTGGGCAAAACGGAACAGCCAAAACAGTATCGTACATGTATGTATAGGGCTTTCACGGTTAACAAAATTACCGAATTTATCCTATTAGATTCGAAATAATTCATGGCAGCCGTAGATTTGATTTCTTTAACCATGGGTTGGGCATTTATATTCGTATTTTACCCCTCGCTAACGCTCAGGGTAAAATAATCGAATATAAATGCCCAACCCATGGTTAAATGAAAACAAATCTACGGCTGCCATGAATTATTTCTTAATTATATGTTATACAAAATCTTGTAGGTCTCATGTATCTTTGTAGGTAATTTTTTTTTTTTTAGCTTTTGATTAATGATGTTTTCAAACATACAGATACGAACTATCCGTGTTTTTAAAACTCTTTGAACGATGACTTAAGCCATAAAAACGTAAAAAAAAAGTATGCTTGAACAGAAAATGACGTTGCTACCGTAAAATGTTATTTTTCACGACGTCAAACTGTGACATGTCGGGAAAAGATGCATTTTAGACAGATTTTTTTCATTCAAACTTATTTAACTTAAAAACGATATCATGAACCCCACTTTTTGAAAATGACATTTGGCTTGATTATGCATGAAGATTATTTGTGCTAATATATTTGAAAAATTACCGATGATATGTTTTTTAAATTAGATAAATATACAGCAAAAAATACGGTTATTTGACTAAAATCATGACAATGTGACAAAAATGAATAATTTCCAAGGAACTGTTACATAAAATCAAAGCACACGTATGTAGAGAAGATACTCCAGATGCTTTTACAAAATTCCGCTTGCAGTTATCTTTTGAAACGAAAAAGTTAAGTATGTCTTTTCAAAGGGTAGAAATGTCCAAGAAACCGAAATTTCCAGTAAATGTCTGAAATTTCTACCCCGTTTATTTCTAAAAGTAGCACATGAAGGTAAATTTTTTTATTACATATTTGAATCGACTAGGTGCAAAATAGCTTGCATGCAAACTTTCGTCAAAAATTCACCCTGGGATCAAAACTGTATCGTATAATCGATTCCTCTTGACTCTCTCTCCGACTGTTAGGCTCGTGCTTTTGGCTGTTCCGGATGAATATGTTAACACGTCTTATCGGAATGAATAATTCAATATGCTTTGCAAATTTTAGGGGCGGAAAGGGGGGGGGGGGGGGGGCACGCCCGTTACGCCCCCGCCTGAATCCGCCCCTGGCGGCATATAGTCATTGATAGTAGTTATGCAGTAGTAGTAGTATCAGATACATGTATACCATGACATATTTTCTACGAGATGTTAAGTAAACAATAACTACTTTGTTCAATTTGAAACTTTTGAGAAAAATAATTTCAACCAATTTCATAACGCTAGACATAATAGAAGTTAAATAATTTTATGTAGATCGTTTTTATTATTTGTTTAAAGCTTTAAGCCTTGCTAGGTGACGAAACCAAAAAAACTTACCTCAAACAACAACATGGAATAATGATAACTGAAAATATCAACAAACTTTATGAAAATAAACACATACAAAACTCTGCGTGTGTGTGTTTATGTAATATCTTATGACCTTTTTTATCTATCGCTTATGAAATTAGATGTTTTAAAGAGAAAGGAGTATGTTCGATTATAAAGTGCAATGTTACAAGATAAAAAATGTTTTAAATTGACTTAAAGACATTTGAGAAAGTCAAATAGACCTATTTGTGTCAAAGTTTTATTGCGTCGACAAACTAAATATTCAAGTTAAAACATGTGAAATGTCATTACAAACATCATTTTAAAAAATCTTTTTATTCGACGTATGCGCTCTATGTTTCCTGACCAATAATCAATGGAAATTAACACATTTTCATTGATTTTTCCGTGAAAAATCAAAATGAGTACTAATTGTGACGTCACGAATAAAACGCATGTACGTAAATTTTCAACAAAAAGGCTTATTTCCTATCTAGTCACTGTATTAGCTATGATTCATTGTGATATTGGTCAATAAATCCTACTTTGAAATTTAAGCTAAAAAACGTGGCCATTTCAGGGCTTTATAGAACATACTCCTTTAATAGCATCTGTGAAATGCATTTGCAATTTTTTCTTGGCACCGGACAGTTTAAAGCTCAATAAAACCGCACATGTATGTTACTCTTAATATGTAATTTTTTTCTGTCATTAGAATTTGTTGATAGTACATAGTCGTAAACCACCACACATCCCATTCATACGGTAACGAAAACTGTATTTTACGTTAAACTTTCTTCATATTTTTATATATTCATTCCAACTTTTTCGCATACACAACCAATTTTGTAACACAATATGAACAGAAACAAACATAAATTTTGAACATTATTTGAATACAAAATGAAACCAAATAGAATTAATACATACACAGAAACATCGTCTAAGGTAGTTATTACACTGTAGCATTGAATTAATTTAAAGTTAAAGGAAGTTATATATAACGTCTACTTCCTTAATTTATCACTTCCTTATTCAACAAATCAATAGACCTTTTCAATAAGTTTAGAGGTGAAATAGATGGGTCGTATCAAAAATAAAAAAAATAATTCAAGAATGACTCCGTATTCCAAAAAAAAACTATTAAAATGTGAATACTAAGTATTCCCTTAATCTGGATAATTTTATGATCGAACAGAAGGTTCTATGTTTTAATACGAAATAGAATTGATTCATTGGTGTTTAACGTCACTTTCAGCACTACATTGTTTTATTTGGCGGTAAGTTTTTATTGGTGGAGAAAGCCGGAGTCCCCTGAGAGAACCACCGACCATCGGTAGGAAATCCTAGTCAATTACAATTGGAGTCGGGCGCACCTGCCACGTACATGATTCGAACTTTCAACCTAGGTGTTGACAGGGTAGTGATACAGTAGTCCGACTACTTAGACCACTCGGTTACCGAGGCTACGTGCCAAAAAGTAAATGGTAATTTTGATAGAGACAGCACAAGATTCCTTGCACATAATGAGTTGCCTTCCCAGTTTTTTGCTTATGAAACACTTCATTATTTTACCGTATTCGACACATATTTTGGGATCACCTCCAATGTTAAACCTTTCTAAAATTGTCCGTTTATAAATGTTGAAATTATAAAGAAACTAAGGTTTCAACTCCCTCAGGCAAAGTTGACCTTAGATGAATTTGGCTATTTGTTTTATGTATTTTTGTCATAAAGCTCTTCAACTGTTTCGGTACTTATACATCCCTCGGATTTCAAATGATTGGCTTTGAGCGTTCCTGATGAAGGTAAATCCAGAAAAGCGCTTCGGACGCATGAAATTATTTAACGTGTTGTTTTCAATTTTTTACATCACTGGGTCGATACCTCTGCTGGTGGACTATCAGTCCCCGAGGGTATCATCAGCTCAGTAGTCAGTACTTCGGTACTGACATGATTTATAACAAACCTTTCTAAAATTGTCCGTTTAAAAATTATGAAATTATAAAGAAACTGAGGTTTCAACTCCCTCAGGCAAAGTTGACCCTAGATGAATTTGGCTATTTGTTTTATGTATTTTTGTCATATAGCTCTTCAACTGTTTCGGTACTTATACATCCCTCGGATTTCAAATGTTTGGCTTTGAGCGTTCCTGATGAAGGTAAATCCAGAAAAGCGCTTCGGACGCATGAAATTATTTAACGTGTTGTTTTCAATTTTTTACATCACTGGGTCGATACCTCTGCTGGTGGACTTTCAGTCACCGAGGGTATCATCAGCTCAGTAGTCAGTACTTCGGTACTGACATGATTTATAACAAACCTTTCTAAAATTGTCCGTTTATGAATTTTGAAATTATAAAGAAACTAAGGTTTCAACTCCCTCAGGCAAAGTTGACCTTAGATGAATTTGGCAATTTGTTTTATGTATTTTTGTCATATAGCTCTTCAACAGTTTCGGTACTTATACATCCCTCGGATTTCAAATGATTGGCTTTGAGCGTTCCTGATGAAGGTAAATCCAGAAAAGCGCTTCGGACGCAATGGCATGTTATTATTTAACGTGTTGTTTTCAATTTTTAATATGAGATGAAATTAATACTATACAAATGTGGTTTCAGGAACAATCTAACAAATAAGACGAAGACATGTTTCAACTCTAATGTTTACATAAGAGATCCTAACTTTCAATGATCTTTGCATGTTGTTCTATTAAATATAAAATAACAGTTTTAAAAGAGATAACTGAAGAATATGACAGTATTTATTTTACATAATTATTATATTAACTTACACATAAATCATATGACATATTTATTTAATAACACAATCAATAAGTGAATTAGTACCCCATACATCATACAGCAAACGTTTTCATCAGTAATAGTAAAAGAGTTTTTGATATTTACTGAAATCACATAGAAAAGAAAAAATAAGATCCAAATACGTTATTCGATGCCATTTGACCACGGGAGATTTGATTACATATTTGGAATACCTGCCTTCACATTCAGACTAATGCTTGTACTTAATCTGACTTACACGCTGCCTATAAATACAGTGTTGTTTTGTTGTTTTTATTTTATTTCTAACAGCTATAACGAAACTGGTAGATACAATTGATAACCTTATGCATTCAATTCCATCAGTTTTGGCAATGTATATATCCAGTACAATGTATATGAAACGAAAGGAAAAATTTGAAACTCTGCACAACATATGCAAAACGTGTACAGATTGGAAAGGAAACTAATCTTTTACGGAGATTTGTATTGATACATGTGTAGTGGTTACATTTAATGTGTTGTCATATTTGCAACCATACTTCCACACAATCTTATCAAACAAAAGTTTTTCTATTTAATTAAATTGTCGTTTGGTAAATCTCCATGCAAATATATTTGCTGCAACGCATTTAAGGCCTTCTCTAATGAAAAAGGTAAATATGCTAGATATACTAACTGGAGGTGTGCCGAGATGATTGAAGCTGTTAATTTTCTCCTTGATAATATTTGTGATCGTTTCGGCAATAAAGTTTATCGACAGGTTGTATGCATTCCTATGGGCACCAATTGCGCCCCTTTAATAGCAGACTTGTTCTTGTACTGTTATGAATCACAGTTTATGACCAAACTTAGCAAAGAAAAATTGCATTTAATTGATAAATTCGACAACACTTACCGTTATCTTGATGATATTTTTTCGTTAAATAATCAAGAATTTTCTAAATATACTGCCGAAATTTACCCAAAGGAACTGACTTTGAATAAATCAAACATAAACGGTAATAACTGAGCTTTCCTAGATTTAGATATTTCTGTTGTACACGGGAAACTCTACACTAACATTTACGACAAAAGGAACGATTTTTCGTTCCCTATTGTTAATTTTTCATTTTTGGACGGTGATGTTCCTGTGGCACCATCTTACGGTGTTTATATATCACAACTCGTTCGCTATGCCCGTGTCTGCTGTGGTTTTGGATTTCAATGAACGCAATCTACGTACTACTGGTAAATAATTAAGTCAGGGATTTTGTTAACACAAATTATTTAAACCCTTTACTAAATTCTTCTATAGATATAAAGATTTGGTTTGGAAGTTTGGTTGTACCTGTAGAAAACTTATTTAAAACGGGATAGCACATCCAAATTTTTACGGAGATGTTATTTACCGAGCCCGGCCATTCGGATACGATACGGGTAAACTTATCGATCCTTTAAATAAACTTATTCTAAAAGGTTACCAATTCAACTCTATAATTAGATCTTTGAATATTATCTTTATTGGTATTAATATTGATTTTGTTGTCAGTAAATTGAAATCAAACTAAACATTATATTTATATATATATATGCACATCTATTGCTCTACAAACTGTCGTTACCTTTATCTTGGCATTGTACACGGTCATGTTTTTCTGTGACTGTTAATGACATCTTTACACTAAATCCATTGGATGTTGGATGTGTACTGATTGAAAATTTAGTCTTAGATGCATGATTTTTTTATTAGTTATTATTGGCTTTGAACTAGCTTTCAGTAACTGCGAGTACTCTCAGATCTGTAATTAGTGTCTTTTTGTTGTGGGAATGTATAAGTACCCTGCCACGTCCACTCTGTGTTTTTGTTAAATGTATTTCTGCTTTGTATCATTCTGATGAGTTAAGCTAGTTTCAACTAATTCTTATAGTTTGTTCTTATGTTGTACTGTTACACCACTGTCCCAGGTTAAGGAGAGGGTTGGCGCCTTCAAACTAGTTTAATCAGGCCGTTGGTTTTTTCGTTTGAATTGTTTTACATTTTTCATTTCAGGGCATTTTATAGCTGATTATGCGGTATGGGTTTACTCATTGATGAAGGCCGAACGGTGACCTATAGTTGTTAATTTCTGTATCATTTGGTCTCTTGTGGAGAGGTGTCTCATTGACAATCATACCACATCTTCTTATTTTTATATAGCAATCTAAACCACAATTAAGTCAAAGAATTGCATTATTGAGTGCAAGCAAGAAAGTCCCCTAGATACAACACATATAATAACACTTTTGAAAACCTTTACATATTCATTGCTGTTACGAGAGCTATGTACAATTTACCCTTTTCTTGCCCTGAAAGAAACAACAAACTAGTATTAGTACCGCATTATATACATTGGAATAACTTTTGAATACATTTCGTTTGTAAGAGCTATTAACATTTTCGTATTTTTCCTTTTGAAAAATCCCAGAAAACCCAATCTGCAACAGTCAAATAAACAATTGACGTCTTCAAGTATAAACTAGATACAATACTATTATAATTTCTGAAGTGTAATTATGTGTACAATTTATATTTATCAGAATTTCTTCTCTTTAACTGTACAATAAAGTGCCAACATTGTGCTTAAATTTTATTTCTTTTTTAATCGATACAAGAATATTCATGTTTTATTGCAGATATCAAATGTTAAATATTCTGGTTTGTGTTTTGATATTATTAAAAAATTATTAAGTGCAATCGATAGAAGAAAATTCATGTTTAAAATAACCTGATTCAGATATAAATGCTTTTGATTTTTGAGAACCCAACATGTCTAGCAAGATTTGAATGAATGAACTAATTCTTTATTTGCAAACCAGTAGTTACATGCTATAGCAACACAAACATAATTATTTACGCAAGATTTACGATCCTTAGAAAAAAGAACTCAATGCATGCATTAATATAAACTGTTTTCGCCTTTGTATAGGTTCTAAGTTTCAAGTTTGATTTAACTTCAAGATCCCGTCCACAAAGGCCCCTGGAGTATGTGAACAGTCAATATTCGCTTTTTTTCAATTATTTTTACTTCAGAATACTTTTGTTTACTTTGCTCATTTTAGATATGAACGAACTGTTTACAACTTTAGTGTGATTATAAGTTAGTTTAATTTACAAACAAGCAAGGAGTGAAAACACCATAATGTTTACATACCTCCATTTCGCTTTAA